CTTCTGGAAAGGTATCTTTTAGATGTTCAACGATATCGACGTCTCGCTGGCCTTCTTGGCCGTGGCCGTGGCCTTAGCCTTCGTTGCGCCCCTTTTGGCGGCTGCCTGGCAGATTATCTAAGAACCCAAACCGGATTCAGGAAAACTCATTGGCTTCAACAAAAACCATTGGTGTCGCTGAGGCTCCTAACAACCCGCAGGATATCTAAAAAATATAATGTTCTCTAGCAAATCATTGGTTTTCAGGAAGGTCCCCAGGAAGATCTTTTTGTCGCAGCAAAAATCGATTGGCTTCAGGGAGGCCCGTTGGTTTCAGGAACATCCTGGTTCCAGGACAGCAATAGCAGCCAAGGCTCTGAGGTTCTGAGGTCTCCTCTTCGCTGGACAGCTCCAGCACCACTTGGTCTTTGGTCATGGCGCTCGTTTCTTTCCGAAACGACCAACACCCAAAACAAGCGGTGGAGCAGCGCCCGACAGCATCTACGACTCCGTTTCTGATACCTAAATGGTGTGTTCTGAGCAACTTGCTGTGGTGCATGGCGCTGGGGTCTTCATCTTGACTGCTGTTTCTGGGGCATCTTTTTGATGGGGTTTCCCGCTGATTCGGTGACTTTAGTCGAAGACGAATGCCTGTGCACCGGACAATCCGCCGCATCAATGAGGTTCGAAGAGTCTTTCTGAAGGTTGCGTGTGGGGAAACCGCCGATAGACCAATTCATGATACATTTTAGTAGTTGGGCTCGAAGAACATACCACTCCCCCCCAAGGAAATCCATAGGCGCCAGAAAACCTAGCTGAAACGAAGGAGCCCCCACGGGGTGTAACAGAAGAAGCAAAAGATCCCTTGAGAACGAGAAAAATCCGGGGCTCCAGAACTTCCGTCGTGGCCAGGAAAAAGCGATGTCTGTTTTCACGGCTCTTTCGGCTGCGGCAGAATCGATTGGCTGGCGACAGGGCCTTTAAAAGGTTCCTGAAACGGCAAACGGAAGCAGTCCCTGTCAGAGCTTCTGGAAGGATTTCATGCTGCATTTCGAGAAAGTTGTTCAAAGGGTTTCCGAGGGGGGAGTCCTGAAAGGTTCCGGAGAAGGTTCCTCTGAAAGGGTTCCTCTCAAAAAATCCCTCTGAAGATGAATTGGCAATGACCAAACTGTCGATCGATTTGACCCCGACTCACAAAAGCCATACTTTATAATAAGACACAGCCAGTCGAAAACAACATGCATTCCGCCAAAGTATCACCATTGGTGGCATCTGTGCGGCAACCTCCCACCTCGCACGGGTAGATGCAAAGGCTGAAGAAAAACTGAAAGTCTTTGGAAGAAACATAAGTTTCAGACCACTCCGTTTATTTCAGGAGAGACGTTGGTTCCAAGAAACCCAAAATATATTAAAAAAAATATGATGGCTTCCGCGAAATCCCATGAGCATCAGGAAAACCCATGGACTCTGTCAAGCAAAGCCCTTGGCTTCTAAGAACCACAAACTGTCAGGCTGCAAGAACATCCCTTGGCCCTCGGGAAATCCGTGGGTTTCAGGAAAATCCACAGGCTCCGGGCGGCTTCGAGGAAAACAATTCCTGCCTTCAAAAATCCGTTGGCTGCAAAAAATGCGCAAAGCAGTTTCCCTCCGAAAGGGTTACTGTGGGTTCCCGCGACTGTTGCTCGGAGGTCTCTGCATGGGTTTCCGGAAAGGTATCTTTTAGATGTTCAACGATATCGACGTCTCGCTGGCCTTCTTGGCCGTGGCCGTGGCCTTAGCCTTCGTTGCGCCCCTTTTGGCGGCTGCCTGGCAGATTATCTAAGAACCCAAACCGGATTCAGGAAAACTCATTGGCTTCAACAAAAACCATTGGTGTCGCTGAGGCTCCTAACAACCCGCAGGATATCTAAAAAATATAATGTTCTCTAGCAAATCATTGGTTTTCAGGAAGGTCCCCAGGAAGATCTTTTTGTCGCAGCAAAAATCGATTGGCTTCAGGGAGGCCCGTTGGTTTCAGGAACATCCTGGTTCCAGGACAGCAATAGCAGCCAAGGCTCTGAGGTTCTGAGGTCTCCTCTTCGCTGGACAGCTCCAGCACCACTTGGTCTTTGGTCATGGCGCTCGTTTCTTTCCGAAACGACCAACACCCAAAACAAGCGGTGGAGCAGCGCCCGACAGCATCTACGACTCCGTTTCTGATACCTAAATGGTGTGTTCTGAGCAACTTGCTGTGGTGCATGGCGCTGGGGTCTTCATCTTGACTGCTGTTTCTGGGGCATCTTTTTGATGGGGTTTCCCGCTGATTCGGTGACTTTAGTCGAAGACGAATGCCTGTGCACCGGACAATCCGCCGCATCAATGAGGTTCGAAGAGTCTTTCTGAAGGTTGCGTGTGGGGAAACCGCCGATAGACCAATTCATGATACATTTTAGTAGTTGGGCTCGAAGAACATACCACTCCCCCCCATGGAAATCCATAGGCGCCAGAAAACCTAGCTGAAACGAAGGAGCCCCCACGGGGTGTAACAGAAGAAGCAAAAGATCCCTTGAGAACGAGAAAAATCCGGGGCTCCAGAACTACCGTCGTGGCCAGGAAAAAGCGATGTCTGTTTTCACGGCTCTTTCGGCTGCGGCAGAATCGATTGGCTGGCGACAGGGCCTTTAAAAGGTTCCTGAAACGGCAAACGGAAGCAGTCCCTGTCAGAGCTTCTGGAAGGATTTCATGCTGCATTTCGAGAAAGTTGTTCAAAGGGTTTCCCAGGGGGGAGTCCTGAAAGGTTCCGGGGAAGGTTCCTCTGAAAGGGTTCCTCTCAAAAAATCCCTCTGAAGATGAATTGGCAATGACCAAACTGTCGATCGCTTTGACCCCGACTCACAACAGCCATACTTTATAACAACAAACAGCCAGTCGAAGGCAACAAAGTATCACCATTGGCGGCATCTGTACGGCAACCTCCCTCCTCGCACGGGTGCAGCCAGTTGCAATCCGTCACAAACAGCAGAGCCCCCAAACAGAAAATGTTGGACATGCCAGCGCCACACGCGTTTGGCACACGACTTCGCAGCGGCCTAATTTCCCTCCGAAAGGTTGAATATGGGTTCCTAAAGCTGTTGCTCGGGGGTCTCTGCAGGAAGGGATCCTTTTAGATGTTCTGGAGGTTTCCTGAAAGAGGGACGTTTCCTGAAAAGGTTCCTGAAATTTTGTATTTTGCATTTTTTATGAAAGGGTTTGTATGACCGTTCCCCAGAGATCTTGAGGCTTCGAAGGGTTTCTCGCATTGTTTCTGGAAGGATTGGGAGACTGTTTTTGAAAAGTCCCTGCTAGGGGCAGAATGTTTCGTAACAAGCAGCAGAGCCCCCCTCTCAATCGCCGACAAACTTTATTTCCCAGGCGCCAGATCTAGATCGATCTGTTCTACTATGCTGTTCTGCGCCGCTTAGATCGGCTTGACGTAGCCTCCGTGGGGGCCGCCTTGGCCGTGAAGGCTGCCTTGGACGTGGTGCCCGCCTGTGCCGTGGTGTCCGCCCGGGCCGTGGTGTCCGCCTGCTGGGTCTTGGTGTCCACCTGCTGGGCCGGTGTCCGCCTGCTGGGCCGTGGGGGCCGCCTTGGTCGGATCTGACTTGGCCGTGGAGCCCGCAGGGGCCGCTGCTGCCATGCCCGCTTGCTGCTTCCTCCTCCTCAAAAAAGCCAGGGCGGACTCCAAATGCAGCCACACCTCCTTCACCTCACAAGCGCTTGAGTCCAGCACCCACTCCTCGAGCGACCTGGCGAGCCGCACGATCAGGCCAGGCGGCACTGGGCCTGAAGCGCCATGGTAGGACTTCGACGTCTTGTTAGACGCGATGAAGCCATGGGGCCTGAGGATGATGCTTCCGCCGCGGTCGTAGGTGGTGTTGCTCCAGTCCTTGGTGGTGTAGACCGCAGCTGGATGGCAATTAGGGCTGTTGTTGACGCGGCCGGCTGCCTGCCCAGCGCGCCCCAGGCTCGTGCAGTGGTGAAGCTGCTCCGGGACACCCACCTGCGCGTTGCCATAGAGCCACTCGCCCGTGGCAGCTGAAGCGAGCCAGTATGCCAGTGCTTCCTGGGATGCAGAGGCTCCCTGGATCTGGATCTCCAAGACGGCCTTGTCATCCTTCTTCTCGGCCCACCGCCGTGCGCGACCCCACCTCCGCCAAATATGCCAGCACCTCCTCCTTCAGCGTGTCTGCCCGGCCGTGGCTCACCACCTCGCCACCCTTCTTCATGTGGACGTTCGGGCATTTCTTGCCGCGCTTGCAGCCCTTGCGTGTACCAAAAAAAGCGGACACCGCCAGCCCAGACAGCTCCGACGCCATGGCTGCTGGGCGACTGAAAGCCGAATTGATATGATGTGATATGAAGGCACCCGGTGTGATGTGGTGTTGTGTGATGTGATATGGCGTGGCGTGATGTGCGATGATGTGATATGATGTGTTCTAGTCCAATCTGCATCCCTTCCAAATATATGTTCAATGACATTCTATCTAGATCAACAATCTGCTAGTTCATCAGGCCTGGTCATGCTTGATCCTGAGGTGCCTAGATATGCACATGTGTGCATGCTTTCCTTGTCTCTTTCTCTACACCACCCTGAAAATGATCCCACCTGTGTCATTTAAAGTTATGTACTACCTGCTGCCTGGGATCGGTCCAATCACCAACTCCCGGCCCTGCAGGCAGTACCAATTTTATACTTTATAATAACAAACAGCCAGTCGAAGGCAACATGCATCCCGCCAAAGTATCACCATCGGTTGCAGCAGAAGGCTTCAGGGAGGCCCGTTGGTGTTAGGGTAGGCCACTGGGGTCAGGAACATCCTGGTTCCAGGACAACGCTGGGATTCCAAGCAAAAGAAAGATCAAGGCCCTTCTGGTTTTGTCGCTAGAAATCACCAAGAAGTTGGACTTCCTGCCAAGAATGACAGCTGGGTTCCGCAAAAGTTCGCAGTCAAGCGTTGGACTTCAAGACACAAAACGCCCGCCGATCCCAACCCAACGATGTCCTGGAAGTTGGCTCCAGATATTTCTCCTGCGACGGGAAGCCACGTGAGACGACCGTGATTCGTTGGATCTTGGCCAACCGTAAAACTGTACCAACCAAAAAAGTCCCCAGAACGACACCTTCACTTCACCCCCAGTAGCGACATTGTAATTTGCGGTTTTCCCAACAGTCCTCTGAACCACTGACTTCGATACGGGAGGTGAAAGCCCCAAAAAACAACAAATGCAAGTCATAACTCATAACCTCAAGCGGCAGTTTTCAGGGTCAAAGCAGTTTGACTGGTTTCTGTTCGGCACCCTCGCTTCCTGAGTGGATGGGCCAAACCAAATCGTAGCACTAGCATGGTCCTCTCAAACGTCTTTGTTAAGTCCAGGCAGGGAGAGTGGAGAATGGCAGCGCGCCTCGTGCGGGGAGAGGCTGAAGACAGGCAGCTTCAGCAACTGGTCCTTGACAGACGCCGCGTTTTTCCGTTCTCATTTTCTTTTTCCGGACACCTCAAGGCAAACCACCTCCATCTGAGTCACCAGGGGCTGGATTTCCCTTTCAAAAGTTGCGATTGACTGGTGGAACTGCCACTTTTGGAGGTTCCAAAAACGGAAATGGAGGAACCCCTGCTACAGGGCAAGTTGTGATAATTCACCAACCCGAAAATAAGGAATCCCTCTTAAAGGAAGCTTCTTGGCGGACGTCACATACCCCCTGACAAACGTCGTTATAGTTTGCCCAGATATATCCACAAGCATGTTTTGTGCGAAAGTTGTGGGTATGGTTTTGTTTGCGGGTAGTTATACAGGACAAACGCGAAAATATGTTGCTTTTCTGGGGCCCTATTTTACGACGCACCAAAATGGAGAGATCCCACTGAAATCCCAAATCCGCGGTGGGACTCCTCTACAAGGGAAACCGCTATCTAGCCCACAACTCACTTCTTTGGTAGATTGGCCCAGAAAAGTCAAATTTATTGCTTGCCACTGAAATGGTCTTCCCTAAAAGCGCAAGGCGCGCGAGGCACCATCTGAACCACAATCAAACCCTAATATTGAACTGGCCTACCCAAACCCATCGGGTGGATATCTGCACCTACTTCCCCCCACTAACCTTCATCTACCCTGGTTTTGATTGTAGCTTATCCAGCCTACAACAGGGCCCCTTATAGGATACCTGTGGGCCAGTTGAAGAATCACCGGTACCAGCTGATTTAGAGGATCCCCTTGTGGATCAGTGATTTTTGGACATCCTTTGCGAATGCCTGTGCAGAACTACGACAAAACCAACTTTCGCCAGTGAGCAGAGCTGCCCATCTTCCATTTAAACACATCTTCCACCTGCACTTCGCTGGAACATGTCACATCCTGATACAGAAAGGTAAACCAGTCACAGGGGCCATGCAAACCTGCGAGGGAGTGCGTAACACTGTGGGAAGGAACAGTAAACACTCTCGCCATTGGAAATCCACCAAACCCTTGCCGGAAAAAAAAAAAAGGTTGAGCTACCCCCGGCCGACCATTTTTGTCCACTCCCGCCTAAAATGCGGCAAAAAGCTCACGGCTTGCTTGCGGGTTACTTAGACCCCGGGATTGGGCCCATCCAACCTCGGTGCTAAGGTCTGTCCGAAAAATGGGGGACAGCCCAAATGGCCCTGCGAGAAGTTCCACTTGTGGGTCCAATGGAAACTCCTCGGTTTCAACCAGAAAGATCAAGTCCAAAGATCCGCTTCCAAGTGGCCCTAAGGCCAAAACGGCTGGTTTCTGGTTGGTTTCCCTTGGAAACCAAAAGGTTGGCCTCCCTAACTTCCCGTTTGCACATCTACAAGGGAAGACCCGGTCAGTTTGCCCTTGTTCTTGGGACAAATCAGGTTTCATAGCTCCAAGAGGAAGCCTACACATTTGGGGAGATGATGCATTTTGAACTCCAACAGGTGCTGCTATGTGTATGTGTATATATATATACATGTTTTGCATACATATGTCCCACGCGAATATTGCGCCGTTTAAGTTGGACAAAGCAACTGCAATGCTTGATCCTCAACAAGGACATATACAGAACCCTTAATATACATGTAATAGGTACGCTTAATTGTAGGCCTTATATTCGCAAACAAGGGCTACGGGACCATCTGCAGTAGCAAGAGAGAAGATCTCCCCCCGAAACCTTTCAAATTCCAACCAACATCCTCACCTCAAGTCCGCCTGGGTCCTTCCCACCTCACCCACCCCCCCCACCAAACCCCACGCCCGCGCCGCCCTGAAGTCCAGGTGCCACGTCGTTGCGGCGGTGGCTCCACAGAAACAGCGCGAAGCCGCGGATGCCGAAGTTCAGCTCCATATCGGCGCCTCCGAAAACCCCGAAGCCATCGGCGCCAGGTGGGTCAAATGAAGTTCCAACAAACAATGGGTTAACTTGGTTGTTGTCTAGGTCCTCCAGAGGTTTGAATGGGACCAACTTTTCTCTGTGGTCTATTTCATCAGGGGACCCCCCCCCCAAAAAAGGGCAAAAGGGGACCACTGGGGGACCTAGTTGTGGACCCCGCTGCAAAAGTGTCAAAAATTGTGGGTCGAATGGAAAATCCAAACTGTTTCAAACAAGTTAAAGTCCAAAGGTCCAGTCAAATAGCCATCACGCAACTAGTATTTCCATCCACGCTCCGAACAGTGAACAGTGCCATGGTCCGAATCCTTAGTATGTTCAACCCACTTGGGTAGAACCAAGGCTACAAGTGGAGCAACAGGGGGCAGTTGACATACCAAGGCGAGTATATTCTGAAATGCCCGCGGAAGGTTGGTTGAACGACTTTGTTCAACGAACCGCTTGTCAACCCTTGGTCAAAGGAGGTTGGAAACCGCAGCAAAAAACCGTCTAGATTGCTATCCACTACTCCAAATACCCGCCTTGTGTTTGTCTTATATTTGCAGGCAAATACCTGCCTTTTCGATCAGGGGTAGACATCAAACTCAGCGGAAAAAACAAAACACACAAAACACAACAACACAGTTTTTGGAGTAGGGGGCTCGTTTCGGGTTGTTAAAAAAAGGGTTCCCAGTGTTCGGACTCAGGATGTTCACACGTTTGAGGATGTTCACAAAAGGGCAAGGACGAAACATCACCTTTCAGGACAATTCCCAGAGCCAAAGCCATTCAGGGGTATACCTGCTGGGGCAAGCCAACCAGCTTCATATCGGCCTGGACTTTCTCGCTCTCACGAACCTGGATCAAGGCCTATGGTTGATTAAAAACGAAAAAAGGCAGTCGGCTGGTGCGAAGTGGATGTACCCCTTCTCTGAAAAGCGGCTGAAATGAAGCAATGGATCTATCGAACCAAGGTTCTAGGGGGTGATTCCAGCCACTCTTTTCAGCCATCGTTCTTTTCAAAGACCCATTTCCCCAGGGTTTTTGGTGGTTTCCTAGCAAGATTCGGATCCCAGGATTCAGAATGGAAATGGAAGCTAGCCCTAGACAAGTGGATTCCCAAACCCCGAAGTTTCAATCTCGAAGCCCAGGGGCCCCGTTCGAACTCGTCAGGCAGCTTTGTGATGGGCTTCGTCCATAGCCGAGCTTCTTTCGCGTGGAAATTTTTGCTTGGGATGTGCGGGTTGGAGATTCTGAAGCCACCTCCTTCGCTTTATTTGGACCAAGGGTGCTTTTCTCAAAGCGCCTGTCTGAGTCGACTGTCGGAGAGAAGCTCAGATGAAGCAGAGAAGCCAAAAAGCTCGGCGCACAAAAAGGGCTACGCAGAAGATCTGCTTTTTTGTGTCTGACTCTTTTTCGTACTTAGTCTCCACCCCAAAGTTAAACACGTTTAGGAGACCCGAGTACTGACCACGGATCAAGGACCGCCAAAAAAAGTGGCCGTTGCCATTGCGGACCACTTTTCGGTCAAAGGTCCGCCTTTCCATCGCTCTGAACCAGTTCCAAAAAGATGTCGCTCCTCTGAATAATTTTGAATCAGTAAAAGATGGATGCCCCCAGGACGAATCTCCATCGTGCTTCTCCCAACCCGTCCTCCCGCTTTCCCTAGCCCTGACCAGCATCGCCGTCCGAAGCAACAAACACATGGTGGTTTTGTTGCGTGCCAAACTGTAAACTAGCAGCCCCGAACATGCTCTGGATCAATGAAAGTGACCTCCAATGCTGGTTTGAATGAAGCCTTCCGCCAAACTCACGTTGGAACCCCTCAAAAAGAGCCCCCCCCCAAAAAAAAAACAAACAACAACAACAACAAGCTGCTTTGAGGTTTGGGCAAAACCTTGTGTCAAGCTGTTCGAACAGTGTTGACCAACGACCTGCATTTAGTTACCCTTAAAAAAGAACTAGTCTTCTTCCATTTGATTAAGAACCCTGGAAATATTTCGAGTAGTCATTCATTACCTTTCAAACCAACAGGGGAAAATAAAACAATATCTTTATAAGCAAATGGAAGTACTTGGTTCTTGAAACCAGTTGCCCAAAGGACCCAGAAATCACAGGTGAACCCTTTGAGGCCATGACCAGTGGACCAACATGGGGAAACTAAAAACGGTCAAAAGGTCGATTCACTTGGGCCAAGTGAGTCTAGGTCCTCCAGTAGAGCGGTTGGAATAAGGGAACCAACTCCTTTCTGAAGTCTATTTTAGTAGGGGGAAGGGGAGACAAGGGCACTACTGGGGGACCTAGTACCTGGGAGACCTAGTACGTACCTGGGGGACCTAGTACCTAGGAGCAAAACCAGCTTTGACCCACGCGAATCGCGAAGTGAAGGTTTGCCGCTTGCCTGCGAGCTTGCCAGAAACCTTGCTGGGAAGGAAGTGGATCACGGGGTCTGTGTACAAATCCACCACCCCCTGGATGTCTACGATCATCCTCGGTCGGACCAACTCACGTCACGGATGTCAGCGAATACGGCCATCGCCTAAGTGAGTCATAGGGTGAATCCCACTTTCTTTGCTCTGGAGATATTCACCACTTTGCCGGACCCACCATCCTCGACTCGTTCCAAAACAAAAAGCCGCCGCAGTGACTTGGCAACTTTTTTTGCTTTCAGCGCGGCTTGGAAGAAAAACTAACCCGATTTGCAGCGCACACATTGGTGCGTCTTCGTTTCACAAAGAGACCGGCTGAAGGAAAATCTAGTAAATCCCAAACCATGGCTTCTGGTGGGTAGCTGGTCAACTTCTAGAACTTCTTGGCGCTTGTTTCTTAGACATTTCATTGGCTCAAACAAGTCCAAACTTGTTATTTACTACTAAAATGGTCCAACCCCAAAAAGTCTTGTCACCAGGAGCAGGAGAGAGTGCCACCAATGGATCTGGACATAGTCTCTCCACTCAATGGCTTAACGCAGGACATGTGGATGAGACTTACCCTCCCTCCAATTAACATGGAACCTGCCGTTTCGGGATCCTGGTTTGGACCAGTGTCCTTTTAAAGGGACCCTCTGTCAGGTTCCATGTTGATTGGTGGGCGGGTATCCAGGAGCTGATCCCAAACTCAGCTCGACCATTGGTGCTCTCAGCCAGCCATCGCTGTTTGGCGGCTTTCTGGAAGAAACCGTCCCTACAACGTGGAAGTTACCCCCCAGAACTCCGGGTGACTAACTGGTCGGCTGGACCCGACTAGCCATGGCACTTGCCAAGACCATGATCTTCCACGAAGTAGTTCGGAAACAAGAAATGGATCGCATCCACTAGCCACTGCGCTTGCCAAGATGAAGGATCCCCTGATAAAACACACCCATATCCAAACCCCCAGCACAGCAGGGCAGGGTTCCTTAAACCAATAGCTACGTGGGTTTTCGGATTCTCCCCATTTTCTGGCAGCAGGCAAGCAGAAAGCATCAGCCGTGCCCGGGCAAGCGTGTACAGATCAGGAGTAAACACCCCCAACTAGGCCCACTTCCGCGCTTTTCAGGGCAAAAAACGGTGGTTTCCGTCATGGATTCCCTTTAAACCCACCAAACAAGGGGTACCAACTCAACAAAGGACGAGCCACCCACATGTTTGGATTCTGCCTCATGCAACATGGCAACCTCTGAGTGCCGCACAAACGGCGCCCAGACTTGACAAAGGTGAAGTAGCCTGGGCGAGCACAGTAGGAGGCTCCCAATATGGGGTGTGTCGTTTTGTTAGGGGACCCCACAAATTGTTAACCTCTTGGTTTCCTAAAAAGCCACCCAAAACCGGGTACCCTCAAAAGCAGACAAACCCATAGGTCCCCTAGCCCCACTGTTGCCCGATATATTCAGGATGTATTCACAGGGTTTCTGATGTCTGTCCCTCTTCGGCTTTAAACATCACTTGGCCCAAGTTTGGGTTCCCTAGGTGCGATGTTTACAATGATCTAGGTCCTCCACTACAGAGGTTAGAACAAGGGGACCAACTTTTTCTGTAGTCTATTGTAGTAGGGGAACCCTCCCGCAAAAACGGGTCAAAGGGCACCTAGAGGGGCACCTAATTGGGGGACCTAGATGATATAAGCAACCCTGGATAAAGGAGTCGATTCGCTAGGCACCCTGAGCTTGGATGTTTGGCCAAGTTGGCAAGTGGTTACGTAGCCACCCGAATTCTAAACCACCAACTACAGGGTTAACACTTTTTGACATTCTGTGGATGAACAAAAAGTTAACAAGTGGATTTTCCACCAGTATTCATGGGGATTCGTCCATGCCAACTGGTGCAGGGTTTGTACATCCACAGTACCACATTGGTTTGTGAACCAGGATCGCCACTTGCAATGCTTCCATCTCCCTGAATGCAGTCTCGCTCCTTGTCCCCCTTTGAACCAGTCGTCCCATCGCACAAAGCACCTTGAGCACTCACCGTGCAAGGTCTATCCCACAAAAAATCAAGGAACACTGAGAAATCTAAAATGGGGCACCGTGAGCCAAGTTGGATTCGTTGGGTATATCTGTGAACTACCAAGATACCTACACACACATGCATATGCATGCGTAAAGGTGATGTTTACCCTAGATGCATTCGCCTGATCTGCAGATGTCTCTCATTTCAACAGCCTCTTTTCTGGCATGTAGCGTGGCTACATCCACTCACCTGTTGGCCGATTTGAGTACTGGTTGAACCACCAATCCCAGGTGCAGGAGTTCGTCAGGCCCAATGTGGCCATGGGTCAAAACCCAAATCGTATTTCCAGTGAACATCCGATTCAATCCAACCACTAAAATAGGTTCTAAAATGGGTGGTGAATTCACCAAGGTTAACAGGCCATTTCGGTTGTACCAAAGCGAAACCTAGCTGAACTCCCTTGAGTGGATTGGCCCCAAAAAGTCCAAACTTGTTGCTTGCCACTATCCTCCAAATCCAAAAAGTGCTTAACTAGGTCCTCCAGTAGAGAGGTTAGAATAAGGGTACCCTTTTTCGGTCGTCTATTTTAGTAGGGGAACCCTCCCCCAAAAAAGGGATTCAAGGGCACCTATGAAAAAACCTAGGTGTTTGAAGTCCAACCCAGGACGCAAGAGAACAAAACAAAGAAGATTCCCGTCAAAAGTTGGTAAAAAGGGCACCTCAGTTGTTCAGTGACCCTGGAAAAAAAAGGAACCCTTCTTTGGGGAAGACCACTTTTAGTGGGGCAGCCACCAAAAAAAGGAAAAAGGGTGCTGAGGCACTACTGGGGGACCTAAAAGTGCGTAAAGTGCAACCAGGGAAGTGCGAGAAAAAACACCAAAGCTGGGGACGCCGTCAAATTTCCTGGCATTTCATCCGCAGGCGCTGAATGCCTGCGGCGTGGTGCGCGCGCCAATGATGGAGCCCCCGTTGGTGTTGTGCTTCAGATACCTCGCGATTTTATGTGGCCAGGGGTCAAAAGCCAAATCGTGCCCCCAGTGAACATCCCAATCCCCACCAAAATAGACGAAAATTGGGTGGTGCACCTACCCCATGGTACCATTGGTTTTGACCCACGGCCATGTTTACGACTGCTTTATCCCGTAGGGCTTTACCCATCCCAGCTGGTGCAAGTCGAGCTATTCAGAGCTTCACTCCTCACAACTGGTGCAAGTGGCCTGTCAGTACAACCGACTATGACTACCACCGACTTACTACTGTGGATGGATGAAATCCAGATCGGCACCAGCCAAGACAACACACGTTTTGAGCACTGGGATAAACCAGCTGCCAAGTGGTGGAAGGCGAATTCTGTACATCCACAGCATCACCCTTACCTTCACGCATGAAAAGGTCAAATTCCCAAGTCTTCCCCAAGTCAACATGACCCACGTGCCAAGAAGAGTGAACTGTCGCAACCCACTGCATGAGATCAGCCAGGTGTCCACAGGGATCTTTTGGCGCGGCAACACGGAGCATTCCAAAGGACGTCAACCGATTTCTAGCTGAGGTTCGGTAGAGCCGCTCGGATGAGCCGTTTTGTGATGATTCTCGGTTTTAAGTGTATAAAGACATATATTGCATTTAGTTGAATAATTTAGCTTTACATATAGAAATACGATGATTGACTCTATTTATGTTATAATTGTGTGGTAGGTAGGTAGATAGATGGGCCATTGGAAATTTGGGTCGTCCCACATCTTCCCCAAACCAACAGCATGGCACCCAGGGGGCCTTGCTGGACGATTCCTCAGGTCTGGTGATCGAATTGTATCAAAGAGAACACGGCAAATCTCAGACGTTTGCCCAATCACCCACGCCAACATTTGCAGTTAGGCGTAACGCACATCAAACGACTCGCGGGTTCCGTGAGTCACAGTGTCCCTCCCAAACTCAGCAGCCAAAAGAATGCTAAGCTTTTGCAACCCTGACTAAAAATAGGCCAACATGGGGAGACCCAAAAGCCAGCAGAGCAAATGACAAGCTCATGCAAACCCCGGATTGATGAACCCCTGCAAACTATGGGGGTGCCCCACACTGTCAGGAATCCGGATGACTTTTGTGGGTGACACGCAAGTCTCGCAGGATGGACTTCTTGATCCGAGGTGTCCAATTCCGGTTTTCGTCTTTGTTGGTCTGTTTCGGGGAAACCAAAACTAGGTCCTCCAGAAGAGAGGTTACAATAAGGGTACCCTTTTTTTCTGTAGTCTATTTTAGTAGGGAAACCCTCCCCCAAAAAAAGGGGATTCAAGGGCACCTAGCTGGGGGACCTAGAAAAGGAAACCAGTGGACCAAACCAAAGGTCGGTAAAAAAGCCAACAGCCTTCAACTTGCGTCAAGGATCTCTCCTGAGACGAAGGCCTCTGCTGAGAAGGTCACCCTCTCTGGCAGTTCCACCACCTAAGTGGTACAGGTCCCTCCTTCAAACAGCGTATGGAAGAGCTGTAGTCTCGGCTGCCCTCAGATCTCCTGCTAAAAGTTGCCCTTTTAGTGGGTTAAATGGAGACTATCACTAAACCCCTAAAAAGGCAAAAAACTAAGGCGGTTGGGCCCTTGGCCTTTCCTGAAAATCAAATGCAAGAATTTACTCTTGTTTCCTGAGTTGATTCAGAAGCCCTAGAATGAGTCGATTCCCCTGTAAATAACAACAATCTATGGTTTCCAAAGTGATGCGAAATGGATTTCGTCCATCCACAGTATGGAGGTTTGTATACTAGGTCCTCCAGATTTGAAAGGTTAGAAGAAGTTGGTAGCCGAGTTTTTTTGTCTTTTCTGTAGTCTATTTTAGTAGGGGAGCCCTCCCAATCAAAAAAGTTGGTAAAGGGGCACCACTGGGCGGACCTAGTGAGTGAATTGCCAACAAAAATCTGAACTTCTTGTTGACCACATGGTGCAAACGGGTCAGGGAGAGAGATGCTGTACCTGGCTGGGTGTTGTTCTTTGGTTGTTGGTTTACCCATTTTTCAAGGTCTCCCACGAACATGGAACCTGACTGGAGCAAAATTGGCCTTCTGGTGGGTTCCCTCTGTGAGCAGGGTTCCCCTCCATTTAAGTTGCTTCTTCGCGCCCTGGACAAAATGTTAGAAAGTATGTCCAGCAGGGAAATCGATTCCCTTTAAAACCAACAAGGAAAAAAACAAACGTCCAGTAGTGGAATCGATTCCCATTACAAACCAACAACAGAAAATACAAACATTAAAAACAAATCATTCCAGTAGTGGAATCGATTCCCATTACAAACCAACAAGGGGGAAAAACACATGTTCATTCAAGTAGTGAAATCGATTCCCTTTACAAACCAACAAAGGAAAATTAGAATACCGGTACCATTTTTTCTGTAGTTTATTTTAGTAGGGGAACCCTCCCAACCAAAAAAAGTTGGTGAGAAAGGGCACCTAGCTGGGGGACCTAGAAACATATTCATTTCAGCCAACATATAAAATGCAAGTTCCCCAAGCTTCGACTCCAGACTTCCCCCCCAGACCTGGGTCGAATTTCGGCGCCGAAAGGCGTGGGTGAGCAGGAAGTCGATGTCGTGCGCACCGCAGCGGCCCAGCCCCGTCTCCAGGGCTTGCCGGTGCACCTCCTGAAGGTCGGTCGCTTCCAACTTCTGGATTCACTTGCCCAAAAGGACCCAATGAACATGGACCGAACATGGACCAAGAAAAGAGACATGGGCAACTGAATGCTAATTGTCCTTGGTTGACGTTGGAAGGGGAGCATTCTTAAAGAAAAAAAAGCAGCAGGTAAGTGGTTGGAGTTCAACCACTAAACCACAATAAGCAAAATGTAAAATGTGTCCCAACAACAACCATGTTTCCTGGTCTCAGTTGCCCCAAACCCAGAAAAGGGCAACGTATTTCTTTGTTTGGGGAGCCTTTGGTGGACCAAAAAGTTAGGTGGGGATTCATGTCCACCAACTTGTGAGGTGGTTCCCTATTAAAATTCATGGCCAAATGAACATGGACCAAACATGGACCAAGAAAAGGAAACTAAAGTTGCTCCAAAACTGAGACATACTTCAGCTTCGCTCTAGTTGGTGTTCTGCATTGGTGATTTGGAGGCTCCTGAACCAGTTGCGCAGTTTGGACCCAGACATACAAGCTAATCACCTTTTGGGGCCATGACAAAAATTGACTAAAGGGAAAAAGGTCAATTCGCGTTGGGCAAGTGAGTTATACAAGTTCGAATAAACTTCACATACTGTGGGCGGACAAATCATCCTGCAGTTGATACGGACGCCCAAGTAAAACAGTTTTCAACGGCGTTTACTTCACACAATGGTCAGAAGGGTATGGGTAAAGTATGTGGCGTCTTTCGTCTAGCACGGAAGTCGCCGCTTGCTTTTGATTGGGAGGGTTCCGTGCCGCTACCATACATTCCCAGCATGATTCACTGCGAGTACCCAGCTGCGTGTTGGGTGTATGATGGCCATGTAGGGGGAAACTCCCGTGAAGATGATTCTTTTTTCCCCCCCCCCAAGAAGGTATCCTCTTGAAAAAGAATCCAATGATTGGCTTCAAGGGCACCCAGTTGAACAGCACCCCATGGTTGGCGTTTGGCTCCAAGTCAGATGGTTTTATAGCTAGGTCGCATTTCTGGACAACTGCCGTGGGGGTTAACCTGATCCGTGATCCGTGAGACACCAGGTAGGTCCTCCAGTACAAAGGTTAGAATAAGGGTACCCTTTTTTATGTAGTCCATTTTGGTAGGGTGCCCCTCTCCCCCAAAAAAGGGGATTCAAAGGCACTGGGGGACCTAGCCAGGAACCGGGACCCCCGGGTCGCGCCTGGTTAAAGAGCTCCGCGTAGTGCTTGGCAAAGGTCTGGTGGATCACGTCCGTCTCGCACTCGCGCCTCGGAATCTGATCAAAGTCGCTACGGTGCTACTGGACAACATCCGCTTCGCAGTTGGTAGGTGGTGTATCCCATTTAGGCTAGGTCCTCCAGTAGAGAGCTACGAATCAGAGTACCCCTTTTTTCTGTAGTCTATTTGACTGGAGGAACACTCCCCAAAAACAAGGGTAAAGGGCACTACTGGGGGACCTAGTAGGGCTTCATCTAGAGTGGTGCAGGATTCCGTCCACCCACAGTAGGTCAGATGGAAATGTTGAGGTTCACAGGCGAAATCATGGAACTTGGTAATCCACGCTTCCAAGTGGAAATAGGGCTTTTCCCCCTTGCTTAAGCAAAAGCATGGGATATGGATACATTTAAAACGCAGTTCCCATGGGTGCTGTTAATTCCATGGCGATCTCAGGAAATGCGAGGCTAAATAATTATTCCCATCCCCGAAAATCTTAGAACTGCGGCATAGCTATCACTCACACAAGTGCTCAATCAAGCAACAGATTCCGTAACGACAAGGCTGCCCTTTGCAGGCGGCATTGTACCCATCACATCATTGCCAGACCGTGTTTGAAGAAAACAATTGAGCGCAAGTTTTCGGGGGGTTCCCCGATTTCTAAGACAACCCCAATGCCCGCGCGCCGAAAAAACGCGCGTGCGCCTGTGCATGATCTTGCGGTGATGGTCCTCAATGGATCGCTTCGCCACCCAGAGCGTGCGCCGGCTGCTACCTCGAGCGCATCACACCGCAAAATGTGCTAGAGTGGCCTGCCCTGCCCTACAACCGATTCTTCTTGTTGGGGTCCCATTCCCTTTTGTTGAAAACGCCAGGCTTTGCAAGTTGGAATTTTGGGGAGACATCGCTGGATGTACTTGCGGGTTTCCCAAAATTATGTTCCAGCTGTGCTCCCTTATTCTGAATCTACCAGCAGCCTCCAATGACAAAACCCCAAGCAGTGTCCGACAAGCAGTTGTTCAGTTGGCGCACAAGAAGATGTCTCTCAAAAACTAGAGGAGCAAAACACATTTCCCATACAGTTGAGTGAGTTGGTAGATGGCAAAATAGTTTCCCTCCCATTTTGGAATAAAGTGATGTCTGCCCCTTTTTGGGGTTGGTCTTTCGGGGAAAACCAAGATTCCACCCGAATCCCGGAGTTTTCTGCTTTGACACGCGGTCAAATAGGGATTCGGACCCATCATTCCCAGCAAGTCCAAAGGACAAGTTAAACGAGCACGGTTAACAAAAGGTGTTGTTTTTATTGGGAGTTCTAGCATGAGTAAATGAAGGGTGTCTTTTCACGCTGCTTTCACGAGGTCTTTTCGCGGGTTTCTCACGCACCTTTCACGGTGTTGAAATCCAGCCTCTTGACAAAGTGCTGGTTCAACGGGCACCTGGAAGCGCTGGGATTTCTATCTAAAAAAAAGAAGTATTGCAGACACCTTCGGGACATACTCACCAAAAAATCGTGACTATCCCTGTACCAGCTACCAGCTGAGACATACATCTGGGCATGTCCTTTTCAGTGGACCCCCGAAAAACTGTGGTGTCCTGTTTCTTCCTCCTAAAACCACCTTTAGAACAGTAGTTATGTTACCATCTGAAAAACTGACAGCCATAAGGCGGATCATGCCCCCCACATGGGGCTGTGGCTCAAGCAACTGTACCAAATGGCACCTGGGTAAATGGAAACAAAGACTAAAACATACGCAACGCGAGGTCTTTCATTTTGAGCCACACCCATATAATTCTGTATGTACCTATGACCCCCATACATACCATCCACTATGGTTTCCTTTGCGTGACTCCCAAACACGGCTCGCTCATTCCGAGCACCCTGACTCGTTGTCATTCCCTACCTCTCGCAAACCCAAGGATCGAAAGAAGCACGGCCTCATGTGTGTGGGTCCTGTTTTGAGGGTACCCCTTTGGTGGTTTTGAGGGAAACTCCAAAGGAAAACCGACCTCGTGTGGGTCCTTTCTGGGCCCAAATCCTCAAACAAGAAGAAAGCCGTATACCTAGCGACCCATAGGCTCTCTTCCTGAGTGAGTGGATTGGCCAGAAAAAGGTACCACACTTTTTGTCTGAGCCACGAAAATGGCAACCAAACCCCCAAAAACTTGGTTGCTCTCTGCTCCCCTGCCAAAAGTTTTTAACTTGTAGTGGTTTAATGGGAAAACCCATGAGTTGGCAAGTGAAAGTCCCGCCGTCCAAGCCAAACGCACCGAAGAAAAGGCGACGAAGGACCTCAGGACTCGGGAAGCACCGCGGGCAGCTCGCTCCAGTCGAGGCACGAGGGAGCTCCATGAGCCCCGCAGCCACCGCAGCAAAGCTGAGCCTCGCCTTGGAGGTTTGGGGGTTTTTGGGTAGAGGTTTGGAGGTCTGGATACTTGCTTTTTTGAGGTTTGCGGGCTTGGAGGTTTGGGGGTTTGGAGGGTTCGAGGCTTAGAGGTTGCAACAGTTGTTCCCGAGTTTTCGCTTCAGGTGCATGACCTCCTTCTTTTACCTTAGCATCTCACTGGGTGGTCCCTTTCGGAAATTCATCTTCCAGGTACTCGTGCCGGCTGTTTGGAGGTTTGGGGTAGGCTTGGAAGCTTGAAGCTTAGGCCTGGAGCTCTTCTCTTAAAACTTGAAGGGACCCCGGGTGGAGCGATTCACCCTTGCTTGGTTGACGTTGGCTTAGGGGAGCATTTTTTTTCAAATTTTAGCAGCTAAGTGGAGTTGGATAGTTCAACCACTAAACCTCAACAAGCAAAAATGGGAAACATGTGTCCCAACGACGCCAAAATTGGGGCGGTTCTCCACGGCAAGTCCGGTTATTCACCCTTGATTCAAGCGATGGACAAACATGCAACCAGTGTGTCAAGACCAGGCAAGACATTGAGATGCACCGCAATTGGACAAGCATGCAACGTATTAGTTGCATGGGTGCCAGAAAGGTTAACAAGCAAAATTTGAAAAAAACAGAAAGAGAGAAAACAAAACGAATTGGGAAGATACAGGTATGGTCAGGGGATTGTTGATACACCGGCTCCACAGCTCGGTTCAAGGGAAAGCCGCATCTGACAAGGCAATCAGAGTTGCAGGATTAGGTGACCATTCCAGTTTGTTTGCTTGGCTGGAATTAGGACCCCAGCCAAAAAAAACATATCTTTTTTTGGCCTGGTTCGTGGAAAACATATGGGGAACCCCCAAAAAAGGCAAAACAAATAAAAATAAAAAAGGGGAACGCATTCTGGGGAAGATTTCTTTGGCCTCTTTGTTTTGTTCGGAGGCCGCATGGAAGGCGCCGGCGTTGACTGCCAAGTAAGAGTCAGACGGCGTGCAAAACCAAAAATCGGGAGTTTCAATTGACGAACGGCGGTCCAGGAAGGCGCCGGTTGGCTTCTTCGTGCCTTTTTTTTCTGAAGAAACCCCTTGCAAGAATTTGCGGCTGTGGCTCAAATTAAAGAGCTCCGGTGGAAGCGGGTTTTAGTCTTTGGTTCCATTTACCAGGGGTGCCTTTTTGGTACCATTTTTTTGAGCCACAACCAAATGTCCTATTGTAAGGGTTGACTCCCCATTCTGTCTAACTATCGTGCTTTCCGAAAACCGGCCGTTTCCCAGGGTTTCCGGAGGTTTTCTAGAAAGAAGGATCCCTGGAAAGAATGGGGAAGGTAGCACTAGACATATTTTACATAATCTTGCAATCGTGATCAAACTGCCTCGCCAATGGATTGATGAGCATCCCTAACCCCGAGATTCGGCTTGAAGGATTTTCACCCACGAAACATCAAGCAACCAGGTCTTACCAACATGAGAACTATCGCCACCCAGCAAACACTGGGACACAATTTCTGGCATAGCGGGAACAACTGGGGGGGGGGGGGCTCACAATTTTGACCAGTTTTCAGCTTTAAAGCTTGGCTGCAAAAGTTTAACTTGTTGTGGGTCCAATGGAGATGTTCCGCTGTTTCAACCAAAAAGTTAAAGTCCAAAGATCCAACCAAAGAAAGAATGGGATACCATAAGGGCCACAATGTTCAAGGTCTCTCCATTCTGACACAGACTCACATTTAAACAAACAAAAAGAAAAGAAAAAACAAACAAACAAACCAAACAAAAAAAAACACCCTTGGGTCTTCCGGCGCGAGGATGGGGCGAGCCGCCTGGCGAGTCTGGCGTTTGTCCAAGTGAATCCCGAAAAAGGGGCCTGGCAGACTTCACCCAGGCCGTGTCTATGATTGGGGTTGGCTCAACAAACGAAACCCTGGATGGGGTTCTCAATCTAAAACGCTTGATACATGGTTGGGCAGTGAACATGTCCCACCCGAACAACAGCACTAGTGGAGGGGAGACCCGACTTTGGGGATTGAGTATCCTTTGGTTGCCAGTTGAAATGAGCTTTGAAGACATCACACCCGGATCCCATCATGCGATTCAAAGAAATAAGGTGTCAACATCTCAGGTAAGCTTCTGATGTCATCTGCTGGCGGTGTGTGTTTGTGTGTGCAAGTTCTGGCAATCAGGCTGGGCTGTGCAAAATGCAGACAATCCTACCTGGAAACCCACAGGGACCTGGCCCCTTCCTAACTTGGTTGACGTTGGTTGGGGAGCAAAATTGTAAATTTTCGCAGTTAAGTGGGGATATCAACCACAAAACCACAATAAGCAAAAATGTAACACGATTCGCAACAGCAACCATGCCAACCCAAGGATTACACCTGCGGACCGAAAATGCGCCCGAAATAGAATTTAATCTGCAGCCACCAGAACTCCAATCCGCTCCTTCTTCGGCTCACTCAGCTCCCTTTCAGGCAAAAAATCCTACAAACCACCGCCCTTTTCCTGGGAGTGGTTGTTCTAGCAAGGCCTTTTTCGAGGATGTGCCTGATTTTTGTTGTCGTCATCCTCTTGTTTGGGGCTTGGGGTGGAATCGAAAAGAGAGCCGACCTACATTTTGGGGGTCCCCCGAATTGCTTCTTAAGAGACCCATATTCGATATTCAATGCACAGACCGGGCACTGGAATCCGAAAAAGTTCTTGGTGGAAACTGATGTGCCGGGCTTCCTGCCTGCGAGGAAGCAATACTAACCGAACTCGCCCAACGCTGAAAAAACCGAAGGTAATTGGAACCCGGACACTCGGAAAACCCGCCGGTGTTTCTGTCCAACCCATTGACTGAAAATCGCGCGTCTGATGCAAACCTTCAGCCTAGGCTTCACTGGAGTCTCTCGCTGGCGCGACCCGAAAGGGAGCCCTCGCACTCCGAAGCTGTCAGAACATATCCCTACTGAAGGTGGAACCCCCAAATACACAGCAAGGCTAGGTCCTCCAGTAGAGAGGTTAGAATAAGGGTACCAACTTTTTTCTGTAGTCTATTTTAGTAGGGGAACCCTCCCCCCAAAAGGGTAAAAGGGCAAAACCGGGGGACCTAGAAGGGGACTTGCGGCAAGCCCTGTGCTCTTCCGAGGATGCTTTTGCGGTGCGGTTCACTTGCAATACTTCGTCAGAATCCACACACGCCAATTGCGTGCCACGCGTCGGCAAGAGGTCTCAAACAAGGAACGTCGCAAAAGCAGTTGGAAGACGAGTAAACCTATGCCCCAAGCACTCAAATCGAGATTTGTCCACCCCAACTGGTGTTTTCAGTGGATGTAACTGGCGTTTTCCATGGATGAACCCCTGATTAGCACTGTCCTTTGGAGAATTTGTGGCATATTTTAAAGAACCAGTTCAACACACTTTGTGTTGACTACCTCAATTACGCAAAGGACCCAGAAATACAATGTTCTCTTTTTGGAACCTTGATTACAGATAGACCAAATGGGACACGCAAAAGGTCAACTTCCATTTGCACAAGTCCCCTGGAAACCAAAAACAAAACAACATATTTGTCCAGTTATAGATTCCGTTCAAAACCAAGAAGGGAAGATCAACAATATTCTGGGATTCGCTCCTCTGAAACTCCGAAACTCTGCCTTCGCCGGAGAAGAGCCGCGTGTCCAGGCGCACCTCCTTCATGCGGAAGCACTCCCTCACAGCTCCTGGTGAGCGGATCGCAAAAGCCCTGAAGGACCTGGGACAAGAATGGCCTCAGTTGCCCAAAGGACCCAAAACTAAAAGGTTAACCTTTTGGCACCTCTACTAAAACTGGACCAAAATGGGAAAACCAAAAGGTCAAAAGGTCGGCTTTGGACAACTGAGTGGCTTGTAGAGAGCGTTTCTGTTTTCTTGAGGTGCCCGTTCGTTGGTCTCACCCTTTTAAAGGTTCCCCCCATATTTCAACATAGCCACATAGAACACAAATGCGGACAAGATTAGCTTGCACAATCAAACGTTGGACAATGGGGGCCCATCTTAAGCCTTGGCACTTGTGTGGGAATTGGCTGTCCCCGCCAGCTTGCTGCAAAAACAACAACCTATTCTACCTCGTCAGAGTTATCTGACTTTAGCTCTGCCAACCTTCCTTACAACAGCCTCACTATAAACACCATCAAACCAGGCCAGGAACCTGCGGTTCAAACTCTTGAGCCTGGAGCACGGGGAGCCCAGTCTCGAACCAGCAAAAAGGTGTGCATCCGACAGAGGAGCATGGCGATTGCAAACCGGCAAACCAAGCCCCGCTGAGATTGAGCACCCCTTCCAAAACATGAGTGACATATGGCTGAGGCTCAAAAAACCGGTACCAAAATGAAAGCCTGGTAAGTGGAAACATGAACCAAAACTTGCGTAACCCCTCCTGTTTAATTTTGAGCCACAGCCATATGTGTTGTTTATTTTTATTTCTCCTTTATTTCTTCTTCTTCCTCGTTTTTTCCAACTTTGGCCCTATCCTTCTTTTGCATGAATGTAGAGATAGACAAACGGGAACTACACGGATTGCCCAATCCTTCGTTGTTTTGGACAAAATGTACATGTAGATTCGGCAACTAACTACACGGATTATCCTACCTGGATAAATGTAAGGGGACATGTTGCAAGTACACGGCCCTATGATCTTTTTGGATATATGCGGAGGCAGCTATGGCATCTGCACGGATGGCCATATTATTCTTTGTCAGCTCCTGTGCATCAGTTTACTCAAAAGATGGCACTGGTACATGATCAGCAGCAAATTTAATCAAGGTCCTCCAGAAACTAGAGAGGTTAGAATGAGAGTACCCTTTTTTCTGTAGTCTGTTTTAGTAGAGGAACCCTCCCCCAAAAAGGGGCAAAAGGGCACTACTGGGGGACCTAGCTAACACGTGTTCATCCAACCTGGCCGCTACGTCGACGCCTCTGATCTACGTTGCGCCAAAGAGATGGCAAGCCTCGCTTCAACTGCCCAGAAAACGTATGGGTCCCATTAAACACCCGCAAACAAGTGGAACCCCTTCACAGGTCAGTCACAATCAAAACCCGGTGCAAAATCTGGTCGTAATCCCAGAACCATGTAAAGGATTAAGAAGGCGGATTTCCGCAGCTATTTATGGTTGGGATCGTCCCTTACTAACCTTCATCTACCCGGGTTTTGATTGTGGCTCCCCTGGTTTCCTGGTGTGTGGTTGGTTTACTAGCACAGGGGCATCCACTGCAAGATTCTAGAATGGGTGCTTCTCCAAACAAGGGAACCTCAAAATGGGCGGATGGAACCCCAAAAACAGAACCACCGTTTTGATTGTGGCTCAGGTTCAGGTGTTGACGCCTGTCCTTTGCCAAAGGCCTTGGAATCCAGCTGGATCATCACCTTGCCGTAAACTCCGAAAAGGTGCTCCAATTTTGGGGTGGTGACTCCACTTAACGTTAACCCCTCAATTTCCTGCACCCCCCCCTATTATTTTTTTGGGGCAGGCCCCTTTTTAGTGGGGGATGATTTCTTCCAGGGAGACAGACCTGATTAACAACTGGGGGATGTAGTGGGTTCTAGCCTAGGTTCCCAATAACTTACTTGGCCGAACACCCATGCAAACACCTTGTGTAGAGTTCGCCGACGTGCCCTAGCCAAGATCCCACCCAACCTACTCCGCCTTCACCCTGCTCTTCCAACTTGGACAGCTTAACATCCCTGCTTTATGAGTCTGGACGAAATCCACTTGGGATAGGTGCAGAAGTCAACCAACAGGACAAACCACTTCTCACCTTACCCCAAAAGCTGGTGGACTGGATTGCTGGTTTGGAGGTGGGTACCTTCGAAACATCCAACTGAAATAAGCGACTTTCGTCCAAGCCACCAATCCAAATAAGTGAAACTGTCATCCAAACCACCAATCTAACATAAGTGATGTTCATCAAAACCCATTGAAATAAGTGACTTTCATGCAAACCGCCAATTGAAATCAGTGACTGTCATCCACGCAACCAATGATAATAATTGACTGCCATCCAATTGATCCAAACCATCATTGAAAGGGTGTTCATGCAAACCACCAATTCAATTATCCCAACCACCAACTGAAATAAGTCACTTTCATGCAAACCATTAATCCATATAGATGACTTTCATCAAAGCCACCAACTTAAATACGCAAGTGTCATCCAAACCAATCTAAGTAAGTGACTTTCATCCAAACTATTAGGTCAAATGTAACTTTGATCCCAGCCCAGCGGCCAATCTAAATCAGTGCCTCTCATCAAAGCACATCAAAGCCACCAATCCAAAATAAGTGGCCTTGAAACACGTGGCTTTCATCCATTGCCAAGCGCCCAATCCAAATAACTGGGTAATCCTCATGAAACAAGGGAAAAGTTGCTCGCCCCACGCACATTTCCGCGCTTCCACCTGCTCCTCCACCCATCCGTCGGTCTCCACGTCATAGCGCCGGGTGGTCGCCAGCTTTGGGTCTTCTGCGCCGGCGGCAAACACATGCTTTTCAGTGCGAGGAATACTTACCCCTTAAAACTCCAAGCCCTGGGGAAGTTAATCTTTTACAGACATATAGCCCATGTTAGCCCAAAAAAGTTGAAAAGCTGTGTTTTTCAGAGGTGAGAATAAGATGAGGCTACCCCTTTGGTGGTTTTCAAGGAAAACCCAAAGGAAAACCCAAGTAGAAACCGAAGAATCAGCAGGATCATGACCTCATATGTGTGGGTCCTAGTCTGAGGAGGGTACCTTTGGTGGGTCCTAGTCTGGGGGTGTCCACATCCTTCAAAAAAACAAACACCCATACCATACCCAGAGACCCATACGCTCACTTCCTGAGTGAGTGGATCGCTCAAAACAAGTACCAAACTGTTCATTCACAACTAAAATGCCATATAGAGACCCATAGGCTCACTTCCTGAGAGAGTGGATCGCTCAAAACAAGTAGCAAAACTGTTCATTTACCACCAAAATGCCATATAGAGACCCATAGGCTCACTTCCTGAGTGAGTGGATTGCGCAAAGCAAGTAACCAAACTGTTCATTTACCACTAAAATGCCATATAGAGACCCATAGGCCCATAGGCTCACTTCCCGAGTGAGTGGATTGCGCAAAACAGGTAACCAAACTGTTCATTTACCACCAAAATGCCATATAGAGACCCATAGGCTCATTTCGTGAGTGAGTGGATTGGGCAAAACAAGTAACCAAACTGTTCATTTACCACTAAAATGCCATATAGAGACCCATAGGCCCACTTCCTGAGTGAGTGGATTGCCCAAAACAAGTAACCAAACTGTTCATTTACCACCAAAATGCAATATAGAGACCCACAGGCTCACTTCCTGAGTGAGTGGATCGCCCAAAGCAAGCAACCAAACTGTTCATTTACCACCAAAATGCCATATAGAGACCCATAGGCTCACTTCCTGAGTGAGTGGATCGCCCAAAACAAATAACCAAACTTTTCATTTACCACCAAATGCAATATAGAGACCCATAGGCTCACTTCCTGAGTGAGTGGATTGCGCAACAAGTAACCAAACTGTTCATTTACCACCAAAATGCCATATAGAGACCCATAGGCCCACTTCCTGAGTGGGTGGATTGCGCAAAACAAGTAACCAAACTGTTCATTTACCACCAAATGCAATGTAGAGACCCATAGGCTCACTTCCTGAGTGAGTGGATCGCCCAAAACAAGTAACCAAACTGTTCATTTACCACCAAAATGCCATATAGAGACCCATAATAGGCTCACTTCCTGAGTGGGTGGATTGCGCAAAACAAGTAACCAAACTGTTCATTTACCACCAAAATGCCATATAGAGACCCATAGGCTCACTTCCTGAGTGAGTGGATTGCCCAAAACAAGTAACCAAACTGTCACCAAAATGCCATATAGAGACCCACAGGCTCACTTCCTGAGTGAGTGGATCGCCCAAAACAAGTAACCAAACTGTTCATTTACCACCAAAATGCCATATAGAGACCCATAGGCTCACTTCCTGAGTGAGTGGATCGCCCAAAACAAGTAACCAAACTTTTCATTTACCACCAAATGCAATATAGAGACCCATAGGCTCACTTCCTGAGTGAGTGGATCGCCCAAAACAAGTAACCAAACTGTTCATTTACCACCAAAATGCCATATAGAGCCCCATAATAGGCTCACTTCCTGAGTGGGTGGATTGCGCAAAACAAGTAACCAAACTGTTCATTTACCACCAAATGCAATATAGAGACCCATAGGCTCACTTCCTGAGTGAGTGGATCGCCCAAAACAAGTAACCAAACTGTTCATTTACCATCAAAATGCCATATAGAGACCCAGAATAGGCTCACTTCCTGAGTGGGTGGATTGCGCAAAACAAGTAACCAAACTGTTCATTTACCACTAAAATGCCATATAGAGACCCATAGGCTCACTTCCTGAGTGAGTGGATTGCGCAACAAGTAACCAAACTGTTCATTTACCACCAAAATGCCATATAGAGACCCATAGGCCCACTTCCTGAGTGAGTGGATCGCCCAAAACAAGTACCCAAACTGTTCATTTACCACCAAAGTGCCATATAGAGACCCATAGGCCCATACGCTCACTTCCTGAGTGAGTGGATCGCCCAAAACAAGGAACCAAACTGTTCATTTACCACCAAAATGCCATATAGAGACCCATAGGCTCATTTCGTGAGTGAGTGGATTGCGCAAAACAAGTAACCAAACTGTTCATTTACCACCAAAATGCCATATAGAGACCCATAGGCCCACTTCCTGAGTGAGTGGATCGCCCAAAACAAGTAACCAAACTGTTCATTTACCACCAAAAATAACATATACAGACCCATAGGCTCACTTCCTGAGTGAGTGGATCGCCCAAAACAAGGAACCAAACTGTTCATTTACCACCAAAATGCCATATAGAGACCCATAGCACTTCCTGAGTGGGTGGATCGCCCAAAACAAGTAACCAAACTGTTCATTTACCACCAAAATGCCAAATAGAGACCCATAGGCTCACTTCCTGAGCGAGTGGATCGCCCAAAACAAGTAACCAAACTGTTCATTTACCACCAAAATGCCATATAGAGACACATAGGCTCACTTCCTGAGTGAGTGGATCGCCCAAAACAAGGAACCAAACTGTTCATTTACCACCAAAATGCCAGATAGAGACCCATAATGGCTCACTTCCTGAGTGAGTGGATCGCCCAAAACAAGTAACCAAACTGTTTGGCTTCCTTTTATGGCAAGTTGACACATATGATGCGATTTCGCGCCTGAATAGCTTAACAAGAAGCTGCTGTCCAAACCAAAGCCGGGGATTGGCTAAGACCCCAGAGCTGCTATAGCTGTTGCTGTTGGGGAGAAGTAAACATCGGAGATTGTCTCAAAACAGAGAATACTGCAATTGTTTGGTTGCTGTTCAAACAAACAAAGCGTACACTGGCTTCCCTCTGTGTGCAAGAGAACCAACCACAGAACGCGCATAAACAGCAGATTGCTAAGGTGCCAGCTTTACATTTTGTCTGCATGGTACCAGCTCAAAAACAGGAACCACGTTGGTACCCACACTCATCTTCCGGACCTGCCCAAAAGAAAGAAGACAAAAACCACGGGGAGCCAACGAGAAACTCCATAGGGGCCGTTGCCCCGGCTGAAAATCCCGCTCTTTGGATTTCCAGACTTCAGCCCAATTTCCGACAGGGGCCTTTTTTGGCCATGCCATGGCATCATTCCCACTCATGACCTGCAAAGAAATCTCCCTGGGACACCTGACGAAACATCTTGCGTGGCTTATCCCAGCCATACAGTAGGGCTTCATCCTGTTGCCGGCGCCCTCATAGCATTGTTCCATGCAAAACCCACGCGAGGTTGGGAGTTCGACCACTTGCCCTCCAGTCAGGTTCCGTACTCTTTTTAATTAATACTTTTCTTAAGTCCCCTGGACAAAACATACTTCCAGTAGTGAAATCCATTCCCTTAAGAACCAACAGGGGGAAATTGGCAAACAACATTTCAGCAAATGCAAGTTGCTTACAGGCGAGCGGTTTTCTTGGTGGTTTGCATCTCTCTGGCTTCCTAGGCCTTTTTTGGGTTCCCGGCTCATCGGCTCATCGGCTCGGCTGGTGGCGCGAAAGCGAAAGCGCCTGGCTGGAAGTCCCGCCATTGGCTCTGGATCTGCTGCCGCGCCTTCCTGGCGTACGGCGAAGTGACTGCGCCAGCACCGCGCAAGCGCAAGGCGCTCCGCAAGCGCAAGCGCTTGCGGACCCACCCGCAGTTGTTTTTTGGTTAAGCAACCCCACAAGACACTTTTCAATTTCACTTGGGGGATGTCTTGGTGGGCAGTTGCCACGGACCTGTGTGTCCACCAATTTGGGTGGGCGCTCATTCAAATTAGTCCCTTTGTTGGTTGTGTTTTAAGCAGGAAGCCGCTCATTTTGAGACAAACCGAAATTTGGTCGGCTCCTGAGAGAATCCAAAGAGACCCGATCGGAACCTGGAACCATGAGGCTGTCCAAATGGAGCACAAAAATAACAGTCCCTGCCCCCCTGCGGCTCCGCGAAATTTGCTCAAAACCGGCCCCGCACAAGGCTCGGGACCAAACGGTTGCGCCCGTTCTGGCAACTCACCGCGTGAATTGCAGCACATCACCCACAGTGATCACCTGAAACCTGACATGTTTCGCCAAATGGCTCTAAGCCAGAAAGTAAGAATTGGATCCCTACCCAAAACAAAGTGCGCATTCCGCAACAGTTTCACCTGAAACCAGGGATCCTGAAAGGACCCGCATCATCACTTTCGCTCGTTGGTACCCCAGGGTTTGCTGAAGGGAAGGATCCCAGACGAGAATGAGGAAATGAGGAGAGACGGCCATAATTTTGCGGAGGGTAATATGGCCATGGGTCAAAATCCAAATCGTACCCCCAGTGAACATCCCAATCCAACCACGCAAATAGGAAGCCCAAAATGGGTGGTGAATTCACCCAATCCAACCAAAATGGGATCAACCAAAACGGCTTTGACCACCACAGCCATATGGCTGCCGGTCAAAAAGGGGTACCCAACATGGAACCCTTGTAAATGGAAAGAAACAACTAAAACCTGCGTAACCCTACCTCTTTTTGAGTTTGAGCCAGACCCATATGTTCGTCACTCCATTGGTCCCCCGCGCCCCTTTTGACTGCGGCGGAACCGATTGCGGACGCGTCGAACTGCGCCTGGCCGCCCGCAGCAGCTTCTCTTTGGCCGCGCTGGCCACTTTGGAGGTGCCCCGAGCCTGTTCGACGGATTTTCCGTGGGAAGAAGGGAGGTTGGCATTTGGTTAAGGGTTTTTGCCGACGGAAGGGAAGGGGTAGGGGGGTTGGCATTTGGTTAAGACTCTAAGACCCCTGGAAAAAACATAAACAAAAGTCCAGTAGTGATAGATTCCCCTGAAGACAGGAACCACTAAACCACCGGGAGGGGAGGGGGGAAGGGTGCGAGGGGAAGGGGGAGGGGGGAAGGGTGGGAGGGGAAGGGCGGAGGGGGGGAGGCAGAAAAAAAGAACATATGTCCAGAGGTGGTAGATTTGAAAAATAGCATTAAGCAAATAGATTTACCCTTTACACGAACCACTAAACCACCAATTCACCAATCCAAACCAAAACCAACCCCAACCCACCAAAACCAAACCCAAACCCAAACCTCAAACCACCAAACCCAAGCCCCAAACCGCCAAAACCAAACCACCAATGGGCCTCATGTCCCTCAGAGAACCCGCCCCCACAACAACGATCTGGAGCCTTGGGGCGACTAAAATGGCGAAAACAGAAAACAAGACTTTAACAGCTGCAAGACAGTTGCCACAACCGGCTGAACCACTGGATTATGAGAAACATCGTTAGCCCAGGTCATACTTGTGAGGAGTGGCCCAAAGAAGCTATGAAGTCCAGGAGAAAAGCTGGCGACCTGATTTCCAGTTGAAGGAATTTCTCTACCCCTCCAGGTCGCCTTACTTGCAACAGGGTGTTCCTACTCACACTGGCTTAACCTACCCAAGGTTACCCGAACCATGGAGGTGCTTTGGCTAGGGATTTGGGCACTTTTCACCATGGATTGAAGAGCAGGTTCTTCAGCATTTTGGAAGACCAAGCGTGCATCGGGGCCAAACGCACCAGTTGACGAGTTGGGGTAACTGGGTAACTGGGACACTTACCAACTGGTGCATTGAGCAACCACTTGTTGGCTCTGTGAAGTATGTGTGTTTGCTCAGGGGAACGGTTTGCAACCTTTAGTTGAGATTGTGACTACTCGCTTTGCTCACATTCGACCTATAGACAGCCGTGGTACTTAGGATAGGGGTCGGTTTTGCTGTTCGACCGTAAAGAACGGCTACTACCCTCCCATCAACATGGAAGTCCATGTGCAGTATGCTCAAAAACCACATACCCATATGAGCGATGGGTTTGTCTCAAGCCCGAAAAAGGGTGGTTTTCCTCTCGGCTTCCGCCTTTCCATCTGCGCGTGGCTCCCAAAATTGTGGTTTTTGCTCTTGGCGTCCTTTTAACATCTACAAGAAGGGGTACCAACTGACCCATACAGGGCCCAAGGAATACTTAAACCCAGTTCTCCTTGGGCCAATGAACCACTGGGTCAAAGAATACCCCTTGATGGTTCCACTTTTTGGCTAGCCCAAGGAAGACTTCAACCCTGTTCTTCTTTTGGTGCCAAGGAACCACTGGATTTTAGGCTACCTTGGTCCCAAAACGTGGACCCTTGGACCCGCTTCGCGCGCCTTGATGCTCGCCTTGGTCTCCTCCGAGAGGCTAAAGGTCCGCGGCGCGGGCAGAAACATGGCGGCAAGCGCCGGGCGCCAGAGCCACGTGCTGTCGTGGCGACCAAAAAATCCTATGCTTGTCGAGGGCCTAGGGGGGAGGGGGGGGGAATAGCGACCAAGTCACCGAAAAAAGGGGCTAAGAGGGTTCTTTCTGCGAGAGGCCGTTTTTTTTTGGGGGCCCTTGACTACCATGCGAGAATCATGTTCATGTCGGATTGATCCGGCCTTGGCTCCCCATCCTTAAGAGAATGATATAATCCGAACTTAACATTCGACGGCTTTCTTTATCGGTCCACATGCTTTATACGTGGGTATGTGTCAAAATAGGGAACTCAAATGGGTCCTTTGGTTTGGTGGCGTCCTTTCGGTTTCTCTTGAAACCAGGGTAAAAGGGGCACTCTCAAACAAGACACACCCATCTGTGCAGAACCAGGCGTTTCCGTAAATATATCCTAGTTTAGTCTGATTTAAAATCATATACTAAATAACAGTGGGTACACCTCAGTTTGTCAACTCTCTCCTGGCTAACTTGTACAGGTATACAAACCCCCCCCAAAAAAAACAGCTGTTCATGTCCCTTTGAAGTGGTTTCAGACACTATGTTTTCAGCTCAAAGGTGTATAGGCTGTATAGGCAACATGCAGATGTCTCAGCGAGGCTTTGAATCAAGAGTATTCGATCACCTAAACACTTTGTTAGATCGATGGCCGCGTCAGACTTGCAAAACGCTTGTCATGCATCTAGTAGGGAAGGTCATTCAGGGCAGGTAACAAACCATCGGCAGGGCCTGCAACAAGCCAATGTTGCAAGGAACAAGCACCATGTTCAACAAGACAAGAACAGGCCTGCCCAGCACGGGGAAGCAGGATGAATAAGCATCACTTTGTACCAAGCATTGGATGTTGGAGTCAACCCATTGAACATGATCGAAACGAACGGAACATGGCCCGAGCCCATCTTGCAGCTTCAAATGGGGCTGCGGAAGGCATGTTGCCTTACACACTCTGCGCTCAAATCACCATTCTCTGACCATTTCTGGCTGAGCCAAACACCCTCAAGGTTGACTTGCTCTTTGCCGTTTCTTGGGTCTTCCGATTCGCATGTTGAAAGTCACTTGTCGATAGGCAGCTCTTCAGTTGGACATGCCTCCCCGCCCACCCCGGTAGAGAGGTTTCTACACTTCAGAGGGGGGACGAGCAGTGGACCTCTGACCGCACCTTGCCCATGTGTTGGGATCCTTGAGTAGATGAGGTTGCCAAAGCCATTTGAACAACATGTATTATCTTTGAACAAATATATTTTTTTTAGAATAAAAACAATTGGGGGCATGCCCCTGTTAGTGGATGTTCCTTTCCCTTCAAACCAACCACCGGGCCACCGGGAGGTACCCCCAAAGCAAGACACATGTGCATCTGAACGGATGGAGAAAACAACCCGAGCAAAATGGCGGGTTTTGCTTAAAGGGAAACCAACAGAACAATTGCTATTTCCGGGGGTCCGATTCCTAAAAAAGGACCCACCCAACTCTGGTGAGACTTTTGACATTCGCCTTCATTAAAGCAAACAAGGTACCAGCTACAACTCGAGGTGCCTTTGTTGAGCTCCCAAACCGGTCCACCTTCAGGGGAATCCCAGAAATTGTGAGCTACCTGGTCCCCTGGTTCTTGCTTTGACATGCCATGGCATGGCCCCCGAAATCAGAAATTGCAATGTGTCCTGATCGCTGCTTTTCTTCCGCTAGGGTTGGGGGTGGCTCAATAATGCAGGGCCAGGGAACCGCAGTTTTAGTCCACTTTTCCATTTACCACAGGGATCCATGTTGGGCCGATTTCCCCATTCCTGCGCAGCCACTTCGTTGGTGTGTCCTTTTTTCGAGTTGGTGATTACCCCGTATTTGTGGGTTTCAAAGGTAAACCAAGAGAAATACCACCATTTTAGGGGTCCCTTTTTGGGGGTCCGATCCTTCCACCGCCGCCACCGAAAAAAATACGCAAAAAGTCCACGCGCCTGGAGCTGGTCCACAGATATGGGGCAGCAAGACTGCAGCAGCGCCTTCGCGGAGCTCCGAAACAAAATGACGAGGCGATTGGTTTGGTGGCGAATTGGACCTGCAAGGGTTCTCCCTCTAGGGGGGTGTTCCCCTGCAAAAGTGGTCTGATTCCCCACTAAAACAAGGAAACCGCCATATTAATACACAGGGGTTGATTAATATATACTGTTGATGGACGAACAAAAACCATTTCGCACCACTTTGAAACCATGGTTGAACCCATTGTTTGTTGGTATTTACAGGGGAATGCATCATTCTAGGGATTCTGAGGTGGTGCGAAATGGATTTCGTCCATCCACAGTATGTCGCATGGAACCGAATGAGATCCAAGTCGATTTATGTTTCGTTTAGGGTGGACAAAATGTGCGGCAGGGACCCTCCAACGTGGCTTGAAGGGGTTCCTTCTGGTGCCCCTTTTACGAAAAGGGGGGACCAACTCTAACAAAGACACCCGAGCTTGGTTGGTTGATTCCGGAGTATTTCCGTGGGCACAAATAAGCGTGAAACCCATCCAATCCAATCCAAAAATCCAAATCCATTCCCATCATCCCCGAGCCCCGTGGGCACAAAACAGACAAGTTGGTGGGAGTAGTAGGGTACCGTTGAGAGACAGAGCAAAAACCAGGGGAAAACGATGAACCAACCAAATTTTGCCACCCCCGGTGTCTCATGGCACCACAATTTGAGCTGATTGACCTCTCTGATACCAATCTCTACTTTGCCAGCCGGAAGGGGATTTTTGAGTCTATCTTTTTTCAGGCTATCCTTTTTCAGCAATCCATCCTTACATTATACACCTGAACATTTCCTTGCAAATTGGTTTCCCTTTATTTGGGTGGAAAAAGCCATGCTTCAAATGGGCAAAGTGTTTTTTTAGGCTATCCTTTGTTGGGTGGTTTAAAGGGAAACCACAAGGAAACCGAAATCCATTTTGTGGGGGCTTTCCTACTTTGCCAGGGGTCGCTGGATGTCCCCAATCAACAGTTCATCAACTTACTGGTGGTTTCCCTTGAAATCCGCACTTTTGGTGGATCCAAAACTGGAAATGGCTCGAAAACCCAGAAAGCGTTGAGGGAGAAAATATTGATATGCATGAAACAGCTTCTTGGCTTCTTGGGAGATGGCCTTAACCTGCCTGTTTGCACGCGCAAGAAAGACATGTATGTCTTTTCTTGGGTGACCCGTTGAATGGGTCTAACAAACGGGTTCCTTTCGGATGCTACACAAATGAGTTTGGCGCAAGTGAATGGAACCCGTTTGTTAGAAGCCTCTAGACGGGGCCCTGATTTTTCAGAGCACAGACACCCCTGGCAATTTTGAAACAGAAGGTAACCCTTCACCAATGTTCTACCGAAACGGGTGTGGCTGAAAATTCAGGGGCCCGGGGTTCCGCACATGTTGTTGCCTTGTTGCTTCAAACTGGGTTTGGGGCCGCTTGGGGGGCATAAATCATGCTTGAGCCACAACCAAACGGGTGTTCAGCTTTACAAGACAGCCCTGGTCTCTCACCTCCCACGCACCCGCTGGTGCTTTTGCTTCTTGCTTTCGCCCGGCTGTTGGCTCTGAAAGCACCGGAAGGTCAAGCTGATGCGTCCTCAGCTGCGTCCCCTCTTGCATTCAATTCTTTGATTGGGTTAGTTTCCTTTGATACTCATTCCTTCACCCTGGGAATCGGCCCGGGTGCACCGAATTGCCGGATTGTCCTGTCACACGAGAGGCAACCTCCAAATCCTCCCTGCTCCAAGGGGCCATAACTTCCAGAAAGCCGTTTTCTTACTGTGGCTTTTGTGGATCCACCCCTGTAGGGTTTTACTTTTCTACATTCTGCTAGGGAGCCTTGTAAGGAGCTTTATAAGGAGCTTCAAAAGCAAAGTGTAGAAAACGTAAAACCCTGTAAGATCTGTAAGATATAAACAAAAGAGTACTAAAAAAGAAGCTACAAGGGGAAGAACAGGTGGAATCCACAAAAGGGCAAATCCAAGCCGCCATGACTCAGCATTCTTTAACGGGCTCTCTAAGTCTGAGGCGAACCGCAAAGGGAAGCCCGTTCATTACTTGGGTGTGGGTCAAAAATCGGTACCCGAAATGGAACTCTGGTAAATGGAAACAAGAACTGAAATGTGCGGTCCTCTGGTGGTTTAGTTTTGACCCACACCCACTTTGCAACACCCAAGCCACCCAACAAAGACACCCAAACCACCCGTTCAGGCCTCGTTCAACCCTTCAGCCTGGTGAGCGGGGGCCTTTGGGCGAGGGGTTGGTAGGGTCCCTGAAGTGAGGTTTGTCCAGAGCGCACTTCCTGAGTGGAGTGAAGAAAAGTCCCTTGGACGATTTGTTCGCCACTAAAGTGGTCCAAACCCAACAAGTATGAGGTCCAGGAACCAACTGAGTCATATCAACACCTAGTCTTGAAGTGGACCCACAACCCATAGCAAAGGATAAGGGCGGTTCTTTTCGCACCTATCTCACTTGCCAGCTGGGAATAAACAAAGCTTAACCTTCTCGGTTGCTGTAACGACCCCTCTCAAAAAGCTCAACTCGTGGGTTCAAAACTACCAAATCGCCATAAAGAATGGGACACCACAAGGAGGGCCACAGTTTTCAAGGTCCCTCCATTCTGAACACAGACTCACATGAAATAACCCGCCGTTGGGTCCCCCGGCGCCCTCGGACTAAAGGAACCTTGACTAAAAGTCGAAAGAGTCAAAGGCCATACGCTTTGGGCAACTGAGCTCCTTGGGTGTTCTTTGTTTCAAGGGGACTCCGAATCTTCCCCCCCACCAAGGAAAAAAGGGTTTTCTTGGTGGTTTCCTTTTAAAGCCGTGACCCAAAAAAGGGGAACAATTGCTTTCTTCTTGGTTTCCTTTTAAAACCAACCAAAAACGGGGTACCAGCTCCGAGAAAAAGAGACGAGCCGGCCAGGGGATGAGAAGGGCGAGTCTCGTCCATGAGTCTTGGCGCTCGCAGGGATGGCGTGCTTGTGGCTGCGCTGGCACGCCCCTCCCATGACAATGAGGTCACCGTCATGCACCTCCACATCCACCTGGCACTTGTAATCGCGCTTGTCTAGGTCCTCCAGTGGAGGTTAGAATAAGGCTACCCACTTTTTGCTGTAGTATGCTGTAGTCTATTTTAGTAGGGGAACCCCCGCCCCAAACAAGGTAGAAGGGCACGACTGGGTGACCTGGTTGTGTTTTTTTGTTGAGAGCCACCCATTATGTTTCTTCGGAGGCGGGCTTCTGTTGGGATGACAAGAGGACGGCCACCATGTATTGGGGCCCGCCTATTTGGACACACACCCATGTCCACGTTTGGTTGGATGCAAACCATTTCGGTGACCCACACAGCACCGAGGAAAAACATCTCTAGGGGTACCTTCCCCATTCTTTCCAGGCACCCTTCTTTCTACAAAACCACCCCAAACCCGGAAACAGCGATCGGTGTTTGAAAAGAGCGATGATTGAAAAGAATGGTTGGAAGGACTCAACCCTGAGAAAGGAAACCACCACATTTTCTGACTTTGATACCCCCCAGAAAAAAAAAAAAAAAGAAAAACACCAACTGGCTCGGACACATGGCTTCGGACAAGGACTCAACCCCTAGAAAAACCGGCCTTTGGTGTTACGAGCCAACCCTATGAAACCGGCCTTTGGTCGCACCCCACTCAAATGGCCAAGGATTTCGGGGCCTTCTGACATCTCGTGCATGGATGGCATCCGAGAGAAGCAAAAGCCCACGTGCCCCACAAGCATGTCTATCTAAAAAGGGAAACCAGGCTCTTCTTCTTCTTCTTCTTCTTCTTCTTCTTCTTTGTTTTTTTTTGGGGGGGGGGTCAAACCCATGCTGAGACAAACCCATTTGTATTGTTTGATGCTATGCGATTCATCCTTCTTTGGCACATGCTTTTGAAAGGCTGGCCCCTTCCCTGCCCCTTTATTTTTCGCCACCAAAACAGATTTGACTCTAGCCCAATACTTCCTAAAGTTCAAACTCGCGATTCTGGCCCATATTTTGTGAACCTTAGGCCAAAAAAACTTGTCAACGAGGAAACGCCGCGCTTCCCCCGGTCAACACTTGGGCTTTGTGGTGGACCCAATCACTCCTGGTGTGCTCTTGGCCCCAAGCACGTCATCCTGATCCCAGCTCCGGATAGGCTAGGCGCCTTGTGTCCATCGCCCGCCTTCTTCGGAGCCAGGCGGAACGTCCTGGGGCTGAAATGCTTCTCCGAGGAGGAGACAAATTCTCAAAAGGCTGATTTCCTACCAACTCCTAAACTAGGTCCTCCAGATTTGAGAGGTTAGAATAAGTCAGTACCCGATATTGTTTTTGCCCGCAGTCTACTTTAGTAGGGGAACCCTCCCCAAAAAAAGGGGATTCAAGGGCACTACTGGAGGACCTAGCAAAGACAAGATACACAGGGTCCCCTTCCATCAGACCAACAAGTTGCGGATCCCAAGTAACTGACCTTCAGCAGGGCTCGGTTTACCGTGTGTTGTACATGTTTGCAATACAGCGACTGTTTGACTTCAACTAACATATCACATAGTTCAATATGTCCTAGGTCCTCCAGTAGAGAGGTTAGAATAAGGGTACCCTTTTTTCCGAAGTCGATTTTAGTAGGGGAACCCTCCCAACCAAAAAAGGGGAGAGAAGGGCACTACTTGGGGACCTAGTGTCCTATCTTGCAGTACAACGACTGTCGACTGGTTGATTCTGGTATGTCCGAATGTATCTACGTGTCCTTTCTTTGATTTCCTCGCGGCATATCATACAACAAGTGGTCCTGGGCAATTTTCTAAACAAATCACAAACCGACATAATGCACCCCAAAGCAAAACACATTCATCATGTGTGAGCTCGTTAGATGGTCCTCTCGTTCTCCGCAACGCGAAGCCAGGGGCAGGTCCACAATCTGCTGACCAAACCATCCAACTTACCTAACCGACCAAACAACCAATCAACCAACAACCAACCAATCAAGCAACCAACCAATCAAACCGACCACGCCTCTCTTTGGGACATATACAGAACAAGCCGACATTTTGTCCCAACAAACAATCCAGGTTGGCTGTAGTGAATTTTATCCGAAGCGTCAGCAAAAAACAAACACCACCTTCCAGTCCCTCAAAATAGGTAACTTCGATGAACCCCTGTGTAGTCCCTTCAGAGCTTCTATCCAAGCTTCCAAAACAGCTAGAAATTCAGTCCCAAACACACAACTTCTTTTTGGACAACAGTCCGAAAAAAGGGAAACCACTTGGAACTAGCTGGCTCCATCCATCAGCCAAGCCGAGCTCAAAGGACGCTCAAAGGCGGGGAGTGGCTTCGACAACACAAGCCCAAAAATATCTTTGCAGCTAAAATGGCCCAAACCCCAACATCCAACGGTTGCCAATAGGTGCTGACTAATCAGGCCTCGGGGCTAAAAGGCATCCTTTTTGCATTTTTCGGGGGGGGGCGCCACTTTGGCGGCCCTGCCAATCATGGGCAACAAGTGGACTGTGGAAGTTGGGCAACCCCACCCGAAGGGTAGAAACAAACTCCAAAGGCCATGGGTTTCTGAATTCCCTCGTCACCTAGGCTCATCCTAGGCTCATCCTAGGCTCATCCTGGGCTTCTCCATGGACCTCCCATAGACTCACGTGGCCAAGTCCAAAAGTTCGGAAGAAGTTTGAAGGTTGGGCTTTGGACAAGTTAGGCACAAGCCCCCCCCCCAGCATCTCAACAATTGCTTTTTGGTTGCAGTTGGGATGTTGGACAGATCTCGGCCCTTGGGAGATGGCTGTGGCTCAAAAACATGTACCACAATGGCACCCTTGGTAAGTGGAACCAAAGACTAAAACCTGCGGGTTGCCCTAGAGCTCCAAAAAAAATGATCCACACCCAGATCTCCTGCATGTTTGATGGTTTGCTGAAAAGAAGGATCCTTGGAAAGGACGGAAATGGAAGGTACCCCTAGAGATCTCTCCCCCCCCAACCACTGCTTTTTGTTGGGGCAGTTGGGATGTTGGACAGACCTGGCCCTTGGGGAGATCTCCTGGTGCAGCCCCAGGAGATGGCGAAGATGGGCGCAGCAGCCACCAGCCCCCGCTCGTCGTCCGAGTGGAAGCCCATGGAGTGCTTGCCCCCGTCGTACCAATTCACCAGGCCTCGGCGGGCGCCAGGGGACGAGGACGGACGCCTCCAAATTTGCCACGCCGCAAGCCTACCCCCTCCTCCAAATACCCAAGTTTTTGTTTAGGGTATTTTTGGCTTTTTGGCAAAACCTGGGTTTCCATGAAAAATACATCATTTTTTAGTAGAGGGTCGACATCATACCCAAGAAAAGAGGGTACTTGGAGTAGGGGGTACCTTGACATTCGCTGGCTTATTTTTGGGGGCGGACTCCAAAAACGGTGGCTTTCCTATTGGCACCACAAAAGGGCATAGCTCCTCAAAAAAGACGGTTGTTCCTATTGGCTTCCCCTTGAAACCACAACAAAAAAGGGCATACCCTAAAAAAAGGCACAGCCAAGTCGGCATGTGTGGGGAGACTCGAAATACCCGCAGCAGTTTGGGGTATGTCAACCATCCACTTGTTCGAGATGTTTTCGACATGTTAGAGACCGTTTCCGGGATGGGAACTTCCAGGGAATGTCCTGAAGAAAGTGTGCCCCATGCCCCATTGACCATTTCTGGGTGGGACAGGAGGTTGTGTCTGGGACCTACGTCCAAAAACCACCCAAAACGCGCCGGGGTACAGGCCCCATAGTTGCGGTCCTTCAAAGGCGGCGCAAGGGCGAGAAGTTTCTGCAGCTGCTGCAGGACGTGCCATACCTGGCAACTACTGACTACTCCGATTTGTTTGGGTACCCTCAAACGACACATCGCATAGGTGGTCTTTCTGGAAAAATGGATTGGCAAATCCTTGGAACGCAACTGAAAGTACCATCCTTCAACTCACTTCCTGAGTGAATTGCTAAAACAAGTAACCAAACTGTTTGTTTATCAATAACATGGGTCTTCCTAAGAAAAATAGTCAAGTACAGGAACTCGGGAAGTGAGGGAATCATTCCCTGATGGGTACCTGGACGACCACGTTGACCATGGGTCCCACGTCAGCCTCGTGGTTGACGTCCTTGGACGTATCAATGTACTAGGAAGGAGGATCAATTTCGAACACCAATTGTGCCTCATGTTCAAGCACGTGCACTGGACTCGGGAACCTGGGTTGACGGTCGCCTCTGGGTTGGCTCAGGCTGATGGGTTGGTTTAGGGTTGGGGCTAATAGCCACTTCCGAGCGGTGGTCATCCACGGGCAGGTCTCAAGAAGTGCGTTCTTTGCCCAACTGCCTTATGGCTGGAGCCGGAAAACCTCGCAGGAAACCAGCTTCTGGGGGTCAAGTTTGATGACACATTGGTGGCATTTTGTGCCTGTGAAGGGGGACCGGAACAGTGTTCTCACCTGTCCAACAAATGTTTCGTTTGACGATCAAAAAACCTGTTTGAGGTATTGGTGAGAACCTAATGGAAGCCACTCAGCTTCGGAATCTCGTTTAGAAACCACTTCAAGGCGAAACTCTCCCAGGGCGAACCCAAGCATCCCGGCAATTGCAATTGACAAGCATTGCCTTCGAAACTGCCACTCGTGGTTCCAAAAAGGGACATGGAGGTATCCCCCTGTCCGGATGCCCTGAATCCAGCTGGAAGCTGGTAGCTGGGGAAACGAAGCAGAGATGCAGCCGGGTGTCCGGTTCCGAGCGGCAAAAAGCCAGTTGACGCGTTGCCGAGTTGCAAGGCAACATCCAATAAAAAATCAAGAAAACCCAAAAACAACTTCAGAAGAATCCGGGAAACATCCAGAAAAACCGACAAATCCAGAAAGAGCCAAAGGTCAAAACGTAGAAAAGGTAAAATTGTATGGTTGGGATTCTCCATGACAAAGCTTCGTCTACCTGGGGTTTGATAGTGCAAGCCCAATAGGTCAAGGCTAGGTAAGCCAAGTCTAGCCGTGGACGCTTGTACACGGCGCCGGCAAAGCACCGCGTCCCTCCAAACTGGCTCTGAGCAGGTCATCCTTCAAATGACCACATAAATTATGCAAATCCAAACCTCTTGGACAAAATCCATACAGAATCAACAAGGCAGTAAAGGCACCCATGTATGGTTGTGATTCTCCCCGACACCTTCATCTACCCGGGTTTTGATTGTGGCTCATATGTTGGTCCCTGCCAAGCCTCAACGAAAACCAACACAGGCGATTTGGGTTTGGAGTCAGTGGAAGCAAGGAACATTCTCTTCCAGCAACCTCCCTTCAGGCTCTATGTCAGTTGGAAGGGCATCCATGCTTCTAACCAACAGAATTTGGCGGAGACATGTCAAACAGACGTCATCCAGGACTTACTGTGGATGGACGAAATTCTGCACCACCTGAAAAACAAAACAAAAAACAAAAAAAACAACGACTGCAGGGATTCGATTCCCCCGTAAATACCAGCAAACCTCATGGTTTCAACCATGGTTTCTTAGTGCGGCATGGGATTTCGCCTCCTTTCGTGGGCCATCGGACCGCCAGCGAGGCGACCCCATGCCCCCCCCCCCCGCCCCAGGGCACCTCCGGCGCATCTTGCCGGGTGAGCGGGTGCGCGTGGGCCGTTTGGCCCGAGAAGGCGTAGTCGGCACCTGAGCTTGGAAGACTCGGGTGGACACATGGAACTTCACTCGCCGCTGTTTTCAACAAGGAGTTGGGACCGCTTTTTGGAAGGGCTGTAAAGGGAAACCAGAAGGAAACCACCTGAAAGAGGGGTTCCCAAGTTTTGATAAGAAGAAAAAACCACACGTTGTGTGCTGCCGAAGTGGTGGACTCTCATGACGGAATACATTACGTTCAAGACATGTCCACAAAGTGTCACCTTCGAAGCTTGAATGGCCGGGCGGTGTAAAGGTGGCTGGTTGCCCCCGAATCCATCTCTTTTCTTTTTTTTTGCCTGGCGGTGGTTTCCCTCTTGGAGCCTGTCAGGGGAGTGAATCCCGACTTGTCGATATGGGCACATCCAACTTGGGGGCCGTATGGGGATATGATCCGACATGGTGTCCCGTGGCTTCCTGAAGCTCGCCCTGTCACTCCGTAGTACTCGATTGGTATCGACTTCCCGGTTTAACCAAAAAGCAATGGGTTTGGGTGTTGACACAATTATGTATATATATATATGTATATATATATATGCTATATGTATATTTATATATATATGTATATATATATATGTATATATATATATAAACCCTATTAGTCTATTCTTTGGTGTTGGAGCTTCACCTAAATCAATGTTTAGTGCATCCATCCCCTGGCTTTACAGACCCCTACCAGTGGACAGGTGGTGCCCCGAACAAACAAAAAAAAGGACACACCCACATCTTCCATTTGCTCAAGCGCCCAGGAAAAAATGGCAGAATGTGTCCAGTAGTGATAGATTCCTTTTGAAACCAACAAGGGACAATACAACAATATTCATTTCTCTACGGGATGACTCCCCAGCCTTTTCAACCATCGTTCTTTGCGAACACCAGGGGTTTCACTGGGTGTTTTGATGGCTTTCGGAAAAGAAAAAAGGATCCCTGGAATTGGAAATGGAAGCTACCCTTAGAATTTCAGCAAGTGGAGGCACACCTGATGGGTTCCTGGGGTCATCCACGGTGACCACAAGTCCCCACGAAATGTTGTAAAAGTTGCCCAGGATCAAAACTGGGATCCGGATGCATGAAAAACACCGATCGAACATTGCAACTGGTAAATGGTGGTGTCAACCTTTATTTTGGTGTTGAAAAAGCAACATGTGTCAAATGGTTTCAAAATGTATCTTTTAAGGAGCCCTGCAAACTGGGGGCCCTTGATGGAAGATTGATCATGGGTCAAAATTGAGCCACAAGGGGACCGCAGGTTTTAGTCTTTGGTTCCATTTACCAGTTTCTATTTTGGGTACCTATGTTTGACCCACAGCCATATGGGTGTGTCTCAAAATCTCGAACCCCTTTTTGGATGGTTTGAAAAGGAGAAGATGAGGACACCACCTTCCTGGAGGGGTCCCCGATTTGCCTAGGTCCTCCAGTAGAGAGGATAGAATGAGGGTACCAACTTTTTCTTCTGTAGTCTATTTTAGTAGGGGAGCCCTCCCCCAAAAAAAGGGGATTTAAGGGCCCTACTGGGGGACCTAGATGATCAACGCGCCACACTGGGAGACAAAATGCTTGGTCCTTCTGCCAGGCACCAAAGGACTGCTGATACCTGTGGAAGGTCACCTCCTTGCCGAAGAGCTTCCCCTCGCTTCGAGGGGTTCGGATTTTTTTGTCGTACGACAAATTTATGAAAGAACAAGGGGGGGGACCTGGCGTCTCCATTACCCTTCACACATGGGGCCGTGGCCCGTTTCTTTTGGGCAACCTAATCATAGGGAGAGACTCCGGTATCCCCAAAGCGAGGGCTCCCCAATGCCTGGAACTAATGGGCGTCGCGTCTCGTGTTCTTTTGGGGACTCCCAAAAATAGGGCGGTTGTCCTCCTTGCCTCCTGAAAACCAAAAAAGCAAGTGACCTCAAAAACATGGCACACCCCAAATGGAATTTCAGGGCTGACCAACCCCCCCCCCCCCTGGCTGCGCGCCCCCTTTTCCCGTTTTGGGGGTGGGGATGCCTCAAAAACCGGTTTAGGGCCCTGGAAGACCCCATCCAACCCCCCACTCGGTTGCTTTCTGCTCCCCTGCTAAAAGTTTAACTTTTAGTGGTTTAATGGGAAACCCCATTAGTAAGAAAAATGCACCAGTGACCACCTGACCGCCCCAAAAAAAACACAAAATTCCCCGCCCCGTTCCTCTCCCGCCTTGCCCAAGTCCGGTGGGTGCCGATTCCAGAGCCGCTCGAAGAGCTCGCCGCTGGGCAGCCACTTGCGAAGCAGCAGCACCCAACCTGAGAGCTCGCACTGCGCGCGGATCGGCAGAAGTCTAGGTGCTCCAGTAGAGGTTGGTCAGAATAAGTTGGTACCCGATGTTTTTCAGTTTTGTCTATTTTAGTAGGGGAACCCTCCCCCAAAAAATAAGGGGATCCAAGCGCACTGGGGGACCTAGAAGTGGGGGAGATGGAGAACCGCGAGTTGAGAGGGAACTGGCCAACCCGCGGCATGGAAGCAAGCAAGGGTTTCTGCTTGCAGCCTCCTCCAAAAATGAACAGCACCGAAAACTAAAAGCCTGCAAACATGCCAACAACCGTGAAGTAAGCCACCAATTGATGCGAAGTGGATGGTGTCCACAGCACAACGGATTGCAAGTCAATTCATTAACCCTCCAGAAAAAGGAGACGAGCTACCAGCCACGAAAGAGAATCGAAACAGGGCACCGAGCCTCCCAAAAAAGGAGACGAGCCAACAGCCAATCCATCCGCCAGGTTTGATAATGCGGGGTCAGCTACTGCTGGCGGAAAATCCGTTGCCACATCTCAGGCCGTTTTGGTGTTCCATTTCATGAGTGGTCTCCCTACAAGTTGAGTCATCTGACTCATTCGGACGACCGCACTAAGCGGCTCCCTTCGGTGCGCCACTGCGGGGACTCTTCTGACGATTTGGGTCTTCCTTTGAATTGGGATGGGACCCGATCGCCTTTTGCTTTTCCTGGAAAGCTCGGGTTCTGAACAAATTCCTGCGTGCCGATATTGTCGCGGCGCAGATCTAAAGCTTGGCGTTTTGGCCGGTGATCAATCCCAAGAAGAGTGCCATGCTGTCGGCCGCTTTGAAAGTTCTGATGATCCGCTTTCGGGCTTCAAACCCTGAACCATACCCCAGGGCAAACTCCAAATCAAGGATTGTATAACATGACACCCAGACAAACATTGCTGCTTTGGGGTCTGGTCTGCCTACTCTGAAGAGTCCAAATGGAAACTTCCAGAACGGACATGGGAGACTACACCCAGATCCATATGAAGTCACACTGGGGAGGGCCTGATACTGCGGACGGTTGAAATCCATTTCGCGCCACCTAAGAAACCCTATCATGATTCACAGTAAAGGCCAACCAACAATGGTTTCAACCATGGCGACGAACTGTACACTACTTCTGTGGTTGACTTCTCTAAGGGTCTGATGAATCAATATCATGCCTGGAGGCTGTCTGCCGATGCATCCAGAGATGCGCAGAAGGCCTGGGCCACTGCAACAGACAGATTTCGGATAGAATTTCTGCTGCGCAGGTCTCAAGAATCCGCTCCGGCGGGTGAAATTGCTTGCCTGAGGTTGCTGCTTCTGAGACTACCTTCAATGCAAATCGCCGCAGAAGGCTCCTTCCCCCAACAAAAAATCCCCTCTGAACATGATTTGCTTGGGAGGGAACCTCCGTTCATTGCTCAAACTTACAATTCCCAAACAGCAAAGAACAGCATGTTGACTTGTCTGCTCTTGCCGGTGTGTGTCCAGGTTGAACATCCCGCCTTCTATTTGATTGACTAACAGTATAATGTCTAAATATCCTCCCATTCACCCGCACTCCAATGCAAACGGAGGCTCTCTCAGCGATACCAAAGCGGAATTTTCCTGACATATCGCCTCAAAAGAACCAAGTGAAACGGGGAGTGATCTCCAACACGGTCAACATGCACAGCGCCAGTCAGGGTCTAAGGGTACCAACTTGTTTTCCTGCAGTCTATCTTCGTAGGGGCTTGCCCTCCCAACCAAAAAAACGAAACGGTAAAAGAGCACCTGGCTGGCTCGGTTGGCATCTCCACGTGAAGGGCCACATCTCTGGGCCTCGTTGGCGCCCATCACGTCCTTCACTTTGGCCGGCAGCTCCGCAGAGAAGCCTCGGAGCTTGAGAGGCATCACGGATATTTTTCCCGTCTCACATCATTTGGGACCTCGGCGCTCGCCTTAAAGAAAAAGGTGGATCTATTAACAACCACTACAGACAGGGAAAGACATGTGTATATGTACATTTATATATATATATATATTAGTGACACCTGATACAAGTTATGTGGTTGATTCCAACCATGAACTGCATGTAGCCCACAAGTCTGAGATTCCTTCAACTCGGCACGCCCTATTGGAGACGCTGGAACGGATGCCAAACCGTCGGTTCTTTCGGTCGCTTCCGGGAGGGCAGAAGGCCGAGGGACGGGGTTGCCAATGTCCAAGCAGACATCAAAACCTAAAATCCGAATTGGACACACACCAACATCCATTTTGTGGGGGGCTTTCCTATTTTGTCCAAATCAAACGTTGATCAACTTTCGGGTGGTTTCCATTGAAATGATCGTCACTTTTGGAGCTAGCACAAAAAGGGGAAATGGCTCATAAACCCTGTTGGGCGCCCTGATTGCAAGTAATTACCAAACACTTACCCGGCTGGACGCCCTGATTGCAAGTAATTACCAAACACTTACCCTGTTGAACGCCCTGAGTGTACTTACCTAACACTTGACCAGAAATCAAGGGGGAACTTACTTTGCAACTCAGCTTCGCTGCTTCCCCTTCCAGCAGTCCAAACCTTTGAGACAGACCCTGTTCCTGGGAAATCCCCAGAACAAAAAAAAGAAGGCACGCCCAGTTGTCGTCCTTTTTCCTTCAAAAACCCACCGAAAAGGGGGTGCCCCCCCCAAAAAAAACCGAGGGACACGCCCAGACCAACCCAGCCGGGGCTTCCCCCGGCCCGGCCCCGCCTGGGGGCGGCCCGGGCCCCGGAAGCGGCGCCCCGCGCAAGGCCCGCGCCAGCGGGCCGTCCTTCGGGGCCACGCGCCGGCGCTTCGCTCGCCTCGGACGAGAGCCGCGTTGAGGGTCGCGAGATTTTTGGGTGGTGGTGCCATTTTTTGGGTGGGTTGGGTGGGTGCCATTTGTTGGTGGCCTGGGTGGGCTTTTTGAAGGGAAGGCGAACCGAAAAGCACAAACAACATCTTTGGGGTCCACTGAGCGTCCTTGTTCTTTTTTCGGAGTTGGTACCCTTTTTTGGTTGGGTTTGAAGGCAAAACCGACAGAAAAGCACCATTATTGGACCTAACAAAAGACACCACTTGGATGGTCGATCTTCTTAGCTTTCCTTCATCTTGGATTGGTTTGGAGGTGAAGAACCTTCCCCTCATTGGTTTCAAATTCAAATCACAGAGGGGAACCTTCGTGACCATGGCTCTGAGTTCGGAAGGTGCATAAAGTGGCGGAAAACTGTCAATGAAGCCATCCCTCCACTTGGCCCACATCTGCGGTCAGAACATGATGTGGGTGCGTCTGTTTTTAGGGCCCCCCGAAAATTGTGGTTTTCCTTTTGGCTTCCCGTTAAACACCAAAAAAGGTGTCCCTCCAAAAAAGACGAGCCACCCATATGCTAGCTTTTCTGCACCTGAGTGAAAATGAATGGGTCTATTGCCCTCATAGTCATAAGCGCAAGCAACGAGGCTGATGAAACCCAAAACGGGAAGCGTGTGCCCTCTACTTTTACACTGCATGCTTCCCCTTAGGTCAGCCAAAAAGAATGCCACTCCATTGCAAACCTGCTCCAAAACAACTACCCTCCCTCCCACTAACATAAGCGCGTGGAGGAGGGTTACTGGAAGATGCATTTCCTCTTGTAGGGACCCCTGTCAGGTTCCATGTCTTGGTGAGAGTAAGCGCCATCTCATGAGAGTCCTTCAAACCTCGCTGAGGCTCCTTGGTTGCTGTTGACCCCCCTGCAAAAAGTTGAAAACGTTTTGGGGGTGTAGTAGAACAGGGCTCCCTATATTTCCCCATCAAACATCACCCCCACCAAGGGACACTTATCTTTCATGGGCCAAAAAGGTGATGTTTAAAACCACCAAAAAGGGAAGTATAGGGACCCCTGTAGAAAACACCTTTATTTCCCAAAAAGTTAAAGATCCAACCCAATAGCAGCCAAGGCTCTGAGGTTCTGAGGTCTCCTCTTCGCTGGACAGCTCCAGCACCACTTGGTCTTTGGCCATGGCGCTCGTTTCTTTCCGAAACGACCAACACCCAAAACAAGCGGTGGACCAGCGCCCGACGGCATCTACGACTCCGTTTCTGATACCTAAATGGTGTGTTCTGAGCAACTTGCTGTGGTGCATGGCGCTGGGGTCATCTTGACTGCTGTTTCTGGGGCATCTTTTTAATGGGGGAACCCCGTTGATTCGGTGACTTTAGTCGAAGACGAATGCCTGTGCACCGGACAATCCCCCGCATCAATGAGGTTCGGAGAGTCGTTCTGAAGGTTGCGTATGGGGAAACCGCCGATTGCGGGGTTCCCTTTGGTGACAGACCATGTTACGGTTGGGGAGGGGTTTCAAAGTATTGCGTCTGTTATGTCTGATTGAAAAAAGTCCGTAGTCGGAGCAGGGCACTAGTTTCCAGTGGAAAATCAATATGATCTGAGAAATTCATGACACATTTTAGCAACTCGAAATGATTCACCAAATGAAGGGGTTGCACCCCCTTTGTCCCCCTTTGTCCGGTCCCTATTGCCAGCTATGATGTTCCTATGCCCTCTTGAGGCGTCATGAGGCTCGCGCTTGCTTGCTCGCGCGAATGAAAAAACGCTCAGCGGCCACAGGAGCCATGGTCTGGGTTTTGTGGGGACTTCTTGTGAGTCTCCCAGGTCACTCCCAAATGGATGATAGAATACTGAAATGATTCGATTGCTTACAAATCGAATATTTCTCACAATGGCCCTTTGAACCACCCATGTGCGAAGTGCCTCAACGTGGGACTTCCTGCCCACTTGCTCTCATGCAAAATATATGACTTTCTGAGGTGCCAAAAGACCACCAGGCCCTCCAATGCCTGTTCCAATGGCCCCAACATAGCTCTGGGAGGTCATTGAGGAAAGCACTCGCCGTTGGGAGCACTTTGTCACTTTGCTTTGGGGAATTCAAGGGCCACTCACAGAAAGTGACTTGCCCACTTCATTCCCAGCCAAACTCACTAAGGGCAACATCACGAACCACAACCCATGAAAGAAGCTAGCCTTCTCTCCAATCAGGTGATGTTGAAAGGCAGCAAACAGCTGAGTGAACTTTGTATACACACTCCCCAACCGCTGCTTCTTGGACTTCAAGCTATGTCCAGCTACCGTACATGGTCAATTTAGCTGGTGAGTTGCACAAACAATCCGCGAGATCCTTATGCCAAATAGTAGGTGTTTCCCCTAATGGTGTCCCGCTAACTACGGATCGAGTATGATTGGAGATCACCCGAAACTTTGAGAACACGACAAGAGAAGGACGATCTTGCACAAATCATGAACCCCTACAATTGGCTGTGGGGGTATCCCTGGATAAGCCCAGCATAAGCCAAGGATAAGCAACAGAATGAACTGCGCTTTTGCAAAAGGTGATTAAAGGCTGTCGACCGGTTTTTAAGCGCTTCCGAACTCAAAGCAACCTGGGGAAACATGTGATCCCCGAGGGACATAATTTGGCTTCGCCCCCTTTTTGAACAACCCCAAGCAAAGGGGATACTCTGGCTTGGGGGTCTGAAAGTGAACGGGAAAGCCAATTATGAGGTTCCCATATACAGCTACGATTTCAATGGGGAGCCCAAATGGTTGTCCGATGTCCACCAAAGGGTTTCCCAATGGAATTCCCGCCCATATATTGGGAGTTTCTCAAAATAGAGGTCCCATAATTTCAAAACAAAAGATGCGTCCTTGTGTTCCCGGTCAAATACCAACCAGAAGAAGAAGGGGTCCATTTTGAAACCTTGAGATGTTGAGTTGTCCTTGGTTTCTCCAAACACCCAACTCCGGGCATGACCTGGGAGGTTGCCCTTTTTGGGTGCGGTTCGGGAAGTTCCAAGGAACACCGACTCATTTTTGGATAAACACCTCTGCCGATCCGCCTCGAGCACGGGAGCGCGGCAGTTGTTGCGCAGCGCCTGCAACAGCAGGCCCCTCTCCTGGCAGTCTGTTCCCCGGTGCCCACGGTGGGGCCGGCTCCTCGTTGCCGTTCTTGTTTGGTTGGATCGAGGCCAGCAGGGATTTCGGTCTGGATGTGTAGAAAACCAGACCCAAAGAGCAAGAAAGAAAAAAAAACAAAAAACCGAGCCAGGCAAAGAGTTGCAGAAAGAGCCAGGCTTCGTCCCAGAGGCACTGGTTGAACATCTGGCTTCCACCTCGGCCCAAGCCCACCGTCAGCATCAAAACCCTGCGCCCGAGGCCCAGATCTATTCCGTCAGGTTCAAGCCTGGCGCTTTGAGTCGGACTAGGCAGATACACTGCAGCAATCGTTTTGTTCCGTGGGGAGAGGCGGTCGAATGATCAGAGCTGAAGAAATGCTCGTGAAAATCGCCATTTCAACAATCCCACAACCTGACATGAGCAAATCGGATCCAAACTAACTGGCCATCGGCGATTCGAATCGCTCCAAGCCCTGGGCAATGTTGCCCTACCTCCGCATTTGCTCCCAACGAAACAATCGCCTCTTCAGATTCTGGCCCATATTTAAGGACGAAATCCGCTAAAGCAACGGTTTGGATGCGCTCTTCGTGGATTTCACCTATTCTTCCCCCTGTAGATCCTTTCTTAGTACTCTTTTAGTACTCTTTTGATATCCTATAGGGGCGGATCCACAAAAACCGCATCCAATCCGTTTCCTACAGTGATGTATCCCGAAGTTTACAGGGCTCCATTCTGCTGCGAAGCGGATTTCCACAGCAAGCCTGATCATTGAGATCAACTTGGTTCGGCTCGAAAGAATGACTGCCAGCTCTTCGGGGTGAATGCAGGAATGGGCGAGCGTCAGTGCCAGGCCCACATCGACCCTTGTTGCCTTGTTCTTGGTGTCTTCGTCGCCTGAAAAACATGTGAAAATAGCCATGTCTAGTGATAGATTCCCTCAAAACACCAATGGGGGAAAACAAGTATTATTTCTTGCTGTTGCAAAATCAGTAGGGAATGAGGGAATGAACCCAGGAGTCCCCTTAAAGGAAACCACCAGTGGGATGGTTTATAGGGGTCTATCGCACCAGCAAGATTTTCTGCAAATGCAAGCAAATGCCACCCATTTGTCTCCCTCCCCCAGACCGAACTCATCTCGATGCTCAATAGGAAATGATGTTGGCTGAATGAACCAGTTTTGGGGATTCCCAGGAATGAATCGGTTTTGGGAATTCCCCTTACAGGAAACCATCAGTTGGATGGTTTATGGAGGAGTCATTCCCACTCTCATTTTGATTGCTGATCGAACCAGCAAGTCGTGGAACATCATGGAACCACAAACCGCCGTTTGGAGAATTGAAAATTGGCCCTCCCAATTTTCTTTGAAGATTTGCGCCCATGATTAAAACTTGGCCCCGAAAACCGGACAGTCCAACCCCCACTCCCACTCCGCGCCTCTTCACCTGTCAAGTGGGCGACAAATGAAACAAACACCTCCGTTTGGGTGTGTCTTCTTGTAGGATACCCTTTTTGGGTTGCATCAAAGGGAAACTAAAGGAACATCCTCATTGTTGCGGGTGCCAAATTCTATGACACGCCCATTTGCGTGACCTTTGGAACGAGTTCTATCAAATGGGTTGGATGCCGCGCACATGATTGTCTGTTGGTGCAAGCTGGAACCTGCTCAATTGACCCTGTTTAGCATCCCGGAGGAATTGGCCCTGTTGAGCCAAGCGCTGGGAGTATTTGAGCTAAGGGCAAACAAGAAACCCATCTCTGCGCTGTTTGCTCCCCTTCTACTGACCATCCTCTGATGGATTTGGCACAATTCCACCATTTCGTGGGCCTTCTTAGAGTCCTGACGCGTTCAAATGGGTGGTAATGTGCCAAACAAAATTGGGGAAGGGTATGTGGCTCCAACTAGCCCGAGCATTCAGGTGTGGCGCTTGATGCAGGTAACCACTTTGTCGTAAAAATAGAGGTTCCTTCAACTAAACCAGTGGAAAACCCTGAAATCCTGCAAAACACCCGATTTGTTTACCTCATACACTGCCAGAAACCTCGCGTCTTCAGGAAGCATCGGGAATCTTACAAAACTGTGGAAAACCCGTAGAAAGCTGCTGGCAACCCATATGGAAATTAGATGCTTTTTGGAGGGCTGCGCCATCTTGTGCCCTTCGTGGCAACATCGGGTCGATCCACTGGTCTGAACAGAAGCTAGGCCCAACACAGCCTTTGCCGATTGAACGCATTGGAGAAAGCGTTGGCGGCTGATTCGACCCCAGATTAATAAAATGGTGCTCTTGATAGACTGGTGCTCCCTTCCGAAAGTGATGAATCCCCACTAAAAGGGGACACTCCCTATCAACTAACCAGGGGATTCGTTAATCCGAGGTCAACATTACAAGCAACCAGTGGAAACGTGACTGACTGGTCGCGTTCTGAACGAAAAAAACAGCTTTTGGTACTTGACAATGAGCATGCATGGTCTGTTGAAGTGCAATGGTTTGACATAATATGCTGATATGTTGTACATGGTGTTCCCCCAAACACATCCCACCAGCGGTTGCTCACTTCCTCACTGGATTGGCAAAACACAACTGTTATTTGCCACTAAAACGGTCTTCCCAAAAAGTTCAAAGTCCAGGAACTCTGGCAGTGAGCTGGTGTGCTTTCTTCTTTTCGTTTTTTTTTGGTACACCGCTTTTTCAGAAACACCGTAACACACGGTGTGTCTTCATCATTGTCCATCACAAACCACATCCCCAACGGGCGGGGGAGGTGCCCTTGGCTTCAGGCCTAGGCTTCCCAAATCGAAGGCGAGCCTTCAGCATCGAGCACGTCTGCTCCTTCCAAAAGCCTGGCGCGTAGATCAGTTTTTGTGTGGTGTTTTGAGGCTCTAAGGGCGGCTTTTTTTTGGGGGACACCCCGTAAAACTTGTAGTGGTTCTCCTCTTGGTTTTCCTTTCCCCCCTGGCATCACGTGGCCATAAAACATGTTTTTCCGTGCGCAGGATGGATAAGTGGGTCTGTCTGCTTTGGGCCAGCCCTGTTTCAGGTTGGTTCAAAGGCAAACCAAGAGGGACTGTTCCCATTCTAGGAGGTCCAAATACTAT